TATATGTTATTCTTCAGAGATACGTAACTTCGTTCGATAGGGAGGGATAAAAGAGAACTCCTTTGCCTTATCGATACTTAATTACAACCGCAATTAAATCGGAATTTAAATCAAGACCAGCTTGTTCCTTTTGTGCGTACTCATCTCGCGTCGTCGTAATTGAGACGAACGGTGTACACATTTACGTACATTTACAATTAGTATGAATCACCGAGATTTCAATTAACGACGTGTATTTTAATCTTGTGCGCACATCGATTGTATCAACAAGCGTCTAGATTTCGAATTTTCAACGTCTCGCTGTTCAAATGCAATTATCTAGAGTTTCTCATCTCAACTCGCTACATCGAGAAATTTCGTATTGATAATCGCCAGCAATATTAATTTATCAATTTCCTAATCACCGTCACGCTTCTCTTCACGATTTATTTGATAGAACGGTGTGAATTAACGTCGATGGAAATATTGTCGGCGGTTTCAAGCTAACTCAGGAAGTTAAGTATAGATAATCGTAATATCTTTGCAAAAATGCACAATTGTACTTATTTGTAAGTTGTACACGATCGGACGATTCATGTCGGGGTCGTATACGATCGTTTATTCCTTAAAGTGACGCGATTTTTAATGTCTCGTGAGGCACATCGATCAAGGATACGCAGCTTTGGGAAGAAACTGGAAGATGCGAGGGGAATACAAAGCGGAGATGGGGTGTATGCAAAAAGGCGGAAAGAGAGCTCGAGCTCGTCCTTGTTTCTAGCAACGTTCGTACTACCATTAATGAAACCGCGGATTTTTATGCAAATCTTTTATCAATCGGAATAAATTGAAACCAGTAATGGGTTCTCGACTTATGTCATCAGTTTTTTACTTTGTTTACTTAGTTTGTAGAAAACCTTTAGAGTCGTGTAGATTACGTCTGAGGCATAAACGATGTATTTTACAGGTTTTCTACAAACTAAGTAGAAAACTGATGACATGAATCAAGAACCGATCACTGATTGAGACTTCTTTCATCCTCCAGAAACTCCGTGTTCAGCTACTAAAGATTCTCGAACTATTTGACATGCATCTATGTGACAAGTCATATTTCCTAGATCGAGAAAATGGGACTTGGAATATTCCTCGTTAATATTAAATTAAAATTGTTTACGACTGTCAAATTATTTGTGCTTATATAGAATATTAAGTAAATATTCCGTTCTTTCGGTCAGGGAGACTGACTCGTATGCATGTCTAATCGTTCGAAGAACTGTCGATACCTAGTCTTCACATCAACTGTAATATATTTTGTTTGCATCAAAGTTTTTTTTTATAAATGCATAAAAATTCGCTGTTCTATTTATCTGTACCGGCGTTGAGTTTCTATTCTTCGACGACATGAAAAATGATTTCTCAAACTTTACTTCATCAAACCTCCACGTTTGTTAAATATTTAAATTTGCGCAAGTTCCCCGCCCGATCTCGTATAAATAAATCGATGATTCGATAAATCGATATCTTCGATTTATTATTCGATTTATTTTAATTTGGTAGCCTCGTGAGGTAGCACGACCCTTTTGGTAAGACTCGATACAGTGGTATAACTCTTTGGAGAATCGTCCTCGCTGTGATTATTATCGTCGAGGCTGTTCGGATCCGGTGCTGTTAAGCATTCATGAAGGAAACTGCAAACCGTGTTCACGTAAGCATCGCGGTAAGTAGCATAATGCTTGACATGCGGTGAATTGGTGAACAACACCAGTTGCACCCGTACTCCACGTTCTGCTCGTCGATTGGCAAACTTCTCAACATCCTTAAAACGTGAATAATAAATTTTATGGTAAATAATTCAATTTCATATAATAATTTCCACTCATAGGCCAGTATTCAGAGTCGTTACTTATTTTTAAGATCGCCTTGAGCATTTTAAGTCCCTGTTTCCTGTACACAACAGGAATTGGAAATATGGGACAGACAGGGATAGGAAATGCTTAAGACGGTCTTAAAAATAAGTAATAACTCTGAATACCGACGATAGGCTCTTTTCTATTATAATTTTTTATCCAGTCTTAAGATAGTGAATGGAAATTGTGGCCTGAAAATAAATTAGGAATGGAATTTATTATACTCATTGATTGTTAGTGAATTTGAAATATGTATAATGTGAAACTGTGTAAAAGTGTGCAAACTGTTAACGATAAATCAAGATGTATCGAAGTGTCCAGTTTAAAAATAGAAGACACAGAAGAGGAGGATGGAGGATGGCGAATGAATTACATGGACACTGTTGAGGTGATCACAAACGGTACGTCTACCTCAATAAGTATATTATAATAAAATAGATTTATTGGGGATACGTACTGATGCCGGAATCAAAGTATCAGCGTTCGAGTAAAGAAATAACTGGGGCCAAGAGTAGGTCTCCTCCGCAAGAGAGATTGGGTTCGTCTGAACCGGATATCCACATCCGAGGGCACTAGCCACCACCTGAACAGACGAAACACGTCCGCTGTGGTACCACCGTTTTATGGAATTCATATTCTGCTGTTAATACCTCGAGAAACCATAGTATGGATAGGAAAATCGTTATGAAGAACGACATCGGTATATTGGTCACCGGATGTCCCCCGATGATTGCGCTGATCGCTTTGAAAAGTGCGGTCATCCTCCTCTCGCCCGGCGCACTGTCGAATATCACTCCCTTCACCTATAACAAATCGCGTGTAACACAATAGGAGATGTGATAACAAGGCGTTTTAAAGGTGAAAGGTGAAGATGAATATGTTACCTTGAGCGGCGTGTTAGCCTGCTGCATGGCTAGGCTTATGTGTTGGTAGAGGAACGCGCCTCCATTACTGAAAACGTGGAAGAATATCGGGTGCTGATCGAGGCTCTTGTCCGTGATCACCTGGACCAGTCGTTTTCCGATATAAGGCATCAAATCCCTTCGCCAGAATAGACATTCCACCGGCGCCGTGTATCTTAGGGTAATGCAACTTCAAATACAGGAATATTTAACGTGATTTTCTTATTGGTAATGAATAGACTGCAGAGTTTATGGGTTTGGGAATAATTGCGTTGCAAGAGTGCAAACTAAAGGGGCAGTACACACTGCCGGCATGATCAGCCGGCATATCCGATCCCATGTTCCTGTCACCTTTAATCCCACGAGTCTCGTTAATACTCTTTACAATGAACAGTACAAAAATCATCCCTAGTAACCCTCTTAATCATGTACAGACATTCGTTGTACTGGGAAATCGTTCAACGCACAAAACCGACTGTAACGAAATAAGAAGGGAATCGTTCGCGAATAGAAGAATAAGGTTTCTGTACCTCTTCTCCTCGTAGATTGCGCTGTACTTGACCAAATACTTGTCCTGACAGCCGGCCCATCCTAGAAGCACGACTAGTGGTCGTTTGACCTCCTTGTAAACGAAAACGAACTCCTCCCGTTGATCGTGCTCGCCGCCGGTGGTCAACGTTGGGTCCTTCGGCGACGGTGGAAACGACGGGAACATGATGTAATAATCGAGATCCTCGAGATCGCTCATCGTTCCTGCTTCTCGTCCTCCTTTTCGTGAGGATGCGGTAGCAAGAGGGAACGAAATGAATGACGCGGGACGTCGGGGTGGTTTTGAAATCCAAGGGTGACGACGGGACGGGTGGAAGCATGCGGGGAGGCACCTCCACCGCGACGGGATTCTCTGTTAGAGTAGAGCTTGCGTCGTCGTCGTCGCCGTTTTCGAAAGCCGGGGATAGGATCGATACCAAAGGCCTGTGTCAAAGTTAGGTATGTGACGAGGACCTCCGACGATCCACCGTCGAGTCTCTCCCTTTTTCTCGTACGAGCCACAAGACAATCTGCGGAATTTTCTCTGTACAGCGAGGAAAACATGTTTTGCTGATCGATAACGTGTATCGATTATCACAGATCCCCTCGCCCCACGCACTCACGCATTTCACTTTGCAAATCTATGTATACAGAGTGTCCCGTTCAACAGAGCAGTTGAAAAGAACTCAACGAGTTCCTTAGGAGTGATTTTATACAAAATTGCCAGACGTAATAGGAAGTAAAGATTACAAGTCGTGACTGCACAGAATTTCCGACGAAATTCGTTATATTAAGACGATAGCGCTTTACACGTCGCATTTCTTAATCTCTGTTTCACGCATGAATATTTATTCAGTGATAATCGAATAAGTGAAGATTGCGAACAATAAACCTGATTAGATTTTAAATGCATTAGACCCGCTGTAATTTGAATTCAATTCGATGCTTGGCGTCGATAACACAGATTTCCCATGAGTTACAAGTAAATTTCCTTATCAGCGTCCAATATCGCAGCCGCATGTCAGTGTAATCAATTCCGGCAGTACCGATTCCGGATATTTCGACAAACGGCGCGTCTTGTTTGAATCCTGTTATCCGTGAGATTGGAACGCATTGGGCAGGCGCCGGACCGCTCGCGGAGGCTGCGTGGGACGAACGGCAACAGACAGAGAGCCTCGTAGAGATTCAAACCCGAAATCAAACGAGTACACTCTCAGAGCCACGCGAGTAGCCGCGCTATACGCCACGGGGGTGTTTCGATACGGTGGTACAGTGCGAATAACGGCGCGAACATGTGTACTATAAAAAGTGCGAATTTCCTGTGGCTTCTTTGTTCCGTTGCGCTTCTCTATGGATTTGTTCTACCGTACGGTGAGTAAATTCGTGATGTCAATCGAATTTTTAATAGAGACAATTATGTTGAAACGTTCAGGAAGATAATTGAATAGTTTTAGACATTAAAAACGCTCGATTGCTGACGTTTCTCTTTATACTGTCTGCTAACAAAAATAAAGTCTCGACAGTGGTGAAATGCTTTTTTATTGGCGAACGTGTTTACGCTAGAGAATCGTTTTAAAAAGAAAATTCAACGTGAAACGGTTCATATTGCTCTAAGCGAAGCGTTTATTTTCCGCTTCTTTGTGCACCGACGTGTTTATGTTGCCGCGAGAAATCGCAAGAAACCGAGAGAATTCTGTCACACGCTGAAAGTCGACTTATGCACGGCCGATGACGTTATCGTTAAAGTACATGACAGCTTTGCAATTTCTTGCAATAGCTTTCGCTTTAAAACAATTTTAATACGTTGCACTTTTACAATATATTGATGCAATTTCATTTTGAAGATTGAATTTTGCTAGCAAATGAATTTCCATTATCGACCAAACAATTTTATTATACTTTACTAATTGATATTCCTGTTTATATTTGGGATATGAGATAATTTAGGGCAAACAATGATGGTATCAGGAATAATCGGGTCGGGGAAAACGTTGTTTGTATTCGTGTCAGAAAACCACAATCGTATTCATGTCACACGGCTACCAAAAACGTCATAAGAATTGATACAATTCTCGATACAACGATGTATATGAATCGTTATATAACGATTGGTGCTAGATTTAATCGAATAAATTGTATGATAATTTTTTCATCATCTTCCAGCTCGTGATGATGATGAAACTCCGTCTGGCGCGTTAAAGGAATAACGTACGATTGTAAGGCCGTCACGGTTTAAATTGGCACTTAGAGAACAGCCAGCAAAATTCCAATGTATTCGCATATCGCATGGGGCACGACGCGACGTAGAACGATCGAATCCGAGCCACTAAAGTGCTCAATCGCAGGTTTCCCGTCGAGATGTCGCAAATCGCACGGCAATCATCTTGTCAAGCCGTCCCGAGTGCTCGCACGCTCGCGCGTGTTTCCTAATATGAATTCCCCGCGTGTCAGTACGTACCTACGGCCCCGCACGAAAACCTGGCCCCGGCTGTCGCGCGCAACAGGGAACGACTCCCTTTGGTATATTACCCTGCAAAATAGTACGTAGCCGTTCCGCCACGGAAGAATGAAATTCCGCGCGAAAGTGTACTCCCGAGAATATTTTATCGCCCCTTCCCTCGCAGACCTAGCGCCGTGAAATACGGAGAACAGCTATTTTATGCAGTTCCGGCATGCATCGTTGCCCGCCCCGGCTTCAACCTCGCGCTGCAAAATATCGCCCATGTTCGGCCAAGAATTTCACCTAATCAAACTAGTCCTCCGATCTCCCTGCTTCGTCCATTTCTAATCTGCTAATTTCTTTCACCCTTAATTACTTGTTACACGTAACTTCCTATGTTACGTCGGACCTATTTGATACATTAACCGGCGAACGGCGAAATATACGTGTCTACTTATCGAGTTGTAGAGGATACAGCATCTCATTAGGCGCCGAACGAAGTCAGCGGTGATACACTTCACGGATCTCGAACGTCTTCGTTATCCGCCGCCTCATTAATACTTGGTCGAGTCGCGGGAGAGAAGTTACTCTTAAGCGTAGTAAGGGAAGTCGAGATCAGGCTCGAACGGTTAACCCAGCCATCTGGGATTGCCGGCGCTGAAGTGGATAGCTGATCGCAAATAAGACGATAAAAGAGGGCCGAGTGGAGTGAAAACCCGAGTGCCTTAGCCTAACCCAGATCTTGCCTTAGTGTTTTCTTCGATAATGAGGATTCCGAAGTCCCCCTGGCCACTTCCCTTGAGACTCGAACAAGGATTCCCTGATTCCTAACCACGAGCCGTCCTTCCGGACTGCTACATCCCTTCGTTCTCCGAACGTGGAATGTATTTGCCGCGATTGGAATCGTCGAGTCTATCGACAATGATGAGAAAGAGCTATCCATATTCGTTTCCGCCTCATAGCGCAAGTGTATCAATCTTCTTGGTCCGCCGTTACAGTGTATCGACATCGACTATTTTATTAATGATGTTGCCAGCAGCCTGGCAACATATATAAGACCGAGCGAGACGGGGGAGAACAAGACAGAGTCGTTGGAACAATTGGAAACGGCAATATCCATTGCTGTAGCCTGGCTAGACTTCTCGGTTCGTTTGTTGAAATAAATATCGGGGATTGAATTCTGGGGCACGTTTTATTATATACGCGGGTCGCAGTTAAAACTGTGAGCGCATGATCTACGTTATAAAAACCCGTCACGTACGATAGAATCTATCGGCTCGATGGCACGGAAAAGTCATACTTTTACCCCACCTGCGATAACTTCCACGATTTTTCTACGCTCTTGCGAAACATTTATCTGAGTGTTTGCTCGAACGCGTACTTGATTGTACAATATATATCTCCTGCGTATCTAGTGTCTCTTTTATTCTGGTTAACCCTTTGCACTCGTAAGAATTCTATAACAAATTTGTACTGTCCACGAGTGCAAAGAGTTAAGACACTCCAGGGGCTGACTGGACACCTGAATCTGCGCCTAGATCGGAAATTGTTTATTCCTAATATTCTTTTTAGGAGTTTAGTGATAAATTCGTAGAAGGTCCTAGGTTCCAGTAAATCAAAGAGGGTTCTCGCCCACGTATCTCAAGGTAAATAACATTTCGCTGAACGAGAATAGGGTATCTGAATTGATGATGAAGCTATGTACCTTCACCCTCACCCGAAACCCTCTCTTCTCCCTTTCTCTCTCTCTCTCTCTTTATCGTTCCGCTCTGCCCGGTTGTCTTTCACCGTGAGAGCTGTTAGCAGTTGAATTTAGCAATGGAAATTCGACGTTCCTGACCTACGAGGACCGATTCATCTTTTAACCGGCGCATTGTTCACCGTTACCCTTTCAGATCTCCCCTTTGAATACCGTTTGCCTCTATCAAATGTAACAATAAGTGAGTCTCGTGTCGGAGACAGCTCCCTCAACTGAATCTATAAACTGTGTCGAAAGAAATTTCTTCTCAGACGAGGGAAGAAGCATAGGAGTTTACGAAAAATGTGTGAAATATGGATTAATGATGCAGGTGATGATACACATGATGACACAATTGGTAATACAATTGATGATACGCGGTGCAATTCGCCGAGTAATTTCATTCTGCAAAAATTGCAGGCTCCGTTAATTTGCTGTTGATTACTATGTCAATGAATATTGATTGCATTACAGCCTGTGCGGAGTTAATGACGCGTGCTGATGCGTTTTTGCTTCAGCCGCGTAATCAATAAAAGCCGACCTACACCTTTTGACACGTCGAACAATGAGCCACCTCGCTTCCATTGCAAATCGTCAAAACTCTGATAGAAAATTATATTATTGTTGTATTTTAAATATATCAAATTTCTTATACGATCTCTAATAAAAGAAGCCACTTAAGTTTCGGTTCTGCGGTTAACTTATTCAGTGTATTGTAACTAACGAGTTACGGTTCGCCGGCTGGAACACCAGGAGGGACTTGATACAAACTCTGTTAATTTTCGCGGCACACTGTAAACTGGCGGGCCACAATGAAATACATACTAACTCGCCTGTTTGTCCCGACGTCTTTCTATGCGACGCTTAATTAGTTGCCATTGCAAGCGTCGCCTGATTTATGGGCCGATATCAACCGAACTCTCGACCCAGAAGAGTGTTCGCTCTATGTATCAATTTTTGTTAGTTCCGGTTAGACGGAGCTTATTAGCAGCTTCCCTGCTCGTCTCTAGTTTATGCAAACCTAAGCTAGTTAATAGGAATTGTGAACAGAAATTAGGAAATTTATTATAGCATCTTTTAATTAAATGCTTGATCGATCATAAATGAATGTTCGATTCCTGGAATAGAAAAGACCTCGGGAAGAATGCGCGTCGTGCCTCGCGTCGTTAAGCAAGATAGGAATAATTATCCATGATAAAAAGCTTTAACGAGTCTGGAGAACACGTTAAATTTTCCTGCGTGACCGTTAACACGAGTCGGAGTGAAAAAAGTTCAACTAATTTCGTAATTTCTATCGCGGAGGAAAAATGTGGGGTGGGGAAAGGGTGACAACCGGCCACTGGGGGGGGGGGGAAGTTAATTACTCTCCTAGCTGGTTTGCACGTTCGTTCACGCTCTGGCTCTCTATCTCTCTCCGCCTTGGCGTGCCTCAGGTGCGCTTAAAGGTAGCCCCGAGCGGATCACGATCGACCGGAAACGAGAAATCGTGGAAAGGAAGAAACGAACGGGAGTGTTAATTGCCTGACAAATCGTCACGATGGTCCCCAGCGTATCGAAATCATTACTGAAATGTTTGGTCTTAATACATTCAAATGACAGTCGATTTCGTTTCTTATCATTTATCTTATTTTTTTTATCTCAAGTGACAGCGAACTCCTTTGTAAACCGACGAAACTCTCGAGGTTGAATAATTGAGAGATTTTAAAGATGAAAAAGTTAAAGTATTAAACGAACGGATTACGCAGAAATTTCCTTATTCACGGAGTTGTATCCTGAGTTTCGAACTTGTTGTTTCATTCCCTGCTGGCTCTTTAATTCAATGGAAGTTCCCTGGCAACGAGTAAAATAAATCATTCTCCTTGCTCTTAATTAAGAAAAATCCTCAAGATTTATTGCGATCTCCGTAGCCAGTGCGGCAGTTGAAATTACTTAATCGTTCAAATGTATCAGATGTCTTTAATGGATAAATCTTGAGCAGTTTTGCTCTGCGCATCAGAAACACAAATAGCGCGCGGTCAATTTTATCAGCCGGTTCTCAGTATCGTTTTCTATATATACTTAAGTGTCGCGTGTCACGCCAAAAATTTGCGGATCGACAAAAGGAGGTTCCGAGCTTCTCACGTCCTATTCCTATTCCTAATTCCTATGAACGAGACATAATAATAGTCGTGAGCCAGTCATCAGTTATTAGGCCGCTTTCACGAAGTAATCTCCTATTTAAACGATTATTTACATTACCGATCAGCTGTGAACTGAACAGAATGGAAGCACCGCCATGAGATTTCGATTTTAATATTTTTCTTTTTACTATCATTTTTGTACCACAGTTTATCCTCGCGTTTACGGGAGCAGCCAAAGGCCGGGAATTTTTTCATCAACGAGGCTTACCGCAGAGATACACCTGAAGCGTTCATAACCCTTAGCAGGGTCTTAGCCGCTGTCGAGGGCAGCGATTTTCATCGAGTATCTACCGCATCGCGTTACTCTCCGGGAGGTGGAGGAGGGGCAAGAAAATTTCATTTCGAACCGTGGACAGCGGGAGAAAAAAGAGGGAAGGATTTCTCGAAGGAACCGGAGCGAAGTAATCGAATAGTCGGGGCGATGCTTTTGTCGATGCATCAGGAATACTGGCGAAAGTCAACCGAGATCGATAGGAACGGAGAATGGAAGAGGAACCGATCCAAGGGTGGCTGCAACGCCGATATCGGTTGTCGATGTCTCTGAGAACGCGATCTCAAATGAGATACGGAAACGATAGGACAATCAATTAATCAAGCTGTCTCGTCGGGAAAGATTGATGGGACCGATTTGGTGGGGGGGAATGAACGCGGCGGAAGAATCGGGCGGGAACACAATGAATCGTGAATTAAACTCTCGAGTTAAGTAATTTGAAAAAAGGATCGATTGTTCAGTCTGATCGAGCCAATACTTAAATCTCTTATCTCCCAGCTTTCATCTGGTTTCTATACTCAATATAAGAAATCCTAATTAAAACACGAAGACGGAGACAGACAATTAGTTCTGCATTTTATTAAAATATTTAATTCAAAAGCTGTATGGATTCCAGCATTGAATTTCATGATTGAAAGAACGTCTCCACGTGCCGGGGGGAGAATAGGAAGATATTAATGAGTTTCCGGGGTTACTGGAATAGAAGAACATCATTCGGAACCAAATGGCGTCCGCATAATTGTTCTCGAATCGAGGAACTTTCAACTTCTCGAAACTTCCCAGTTTCAATCGTGTGGAACTTGGCGACGCAAACATTCTACGAAAATTCGGAACGGGATCACAGCTGCGTACGAATACCTTCGATTCAGATGACAAAGTATCTCCAGGCTCAATTACGTGTTGGGTAATGCAACAGACTTTCCCAGAATTAAGGGAAACAATCGATCGGGTTGCAAACGTTGCGGATACTAGAAAATCTGTACTTTGCAACTGCTACACTGTGAAATCTTCATTATACGATCTAGCCGGGTTACAAACATGTTCAGATACCAAGTTTACCTTTGGTCCGTCTGCAATATTTGATAAGTAGGAAACTTTTCTGATATATTGAATGACAAATCGCGAGTATTCGATCTGATACCAAAATAAATGTATAGTAAGCTTGAGTTACGATAGAAAACGTAGTAAATAACCCAGTTTCTCTTCATATCGTAATTTCTACTGACTGGCTTACGGTTTACGGTCACTCTCACGACCCTTTTTAATCTCTTTTCGCTCAAATCATAGAGATATTCACGTCGTAGTTAAGCACAGAATAATTCTGGTGCCATTCACGAACGTCTTAATTACCCGGTCAGGTGCTTACCTGGGAAAAGAGGGAAATAGCTGGGTGTACACGCGAGAGGAGAGAGAACAGAGTTCGTCCGGCGTTTCCAGAAGCTTTAAGTACTTACCCCAAACTCTAGTCCTCTTCCGTTTCTAAGTAAAGTATGAAACTATACGCTCCTCTGGCGAGATCGCGACTTTCGAAGTTAATCTACAACTTTCTCGAGCCGGAGGAAAGGAGAAAGGAAAAATATTCACCCGCGTTTTCCCTCGGCCCTGACTTGTCTTCCTTCTACCGTGCCCAAAGGGGATTATTACGTATTCGACGTACCATTGTGTTGTATCTCAATGATGTCCAACTACCTTTTGCTCAAGAGAATTTCTCATTAAGACGAGTTTCAATCCTTTCTGCGATTGGCAATATCGCTTCGAATCATAAATCGTTTAATTTTTAATATAAAAAGTTCCATCGACTCACTTATTAACTTTTTTAGGAACAATCTCCAAATATACAATTTTTAGAGAGAGAGAGAGAGAGAGAGAGAGAGAGAGAGAGAGAGAGAGAGAGGGGTTAACTTTATCACTGATGGTAGAGGATTTTCCAAACTCGGTAATTGAAGATCGGAGGGTCTCGAAACTGGAGCGCACGGCAAAATCAATTAAAAAGTTTCTACGTACAACTTTTATAAACAAATACGTTTGGCTTACCGTATGTGACGCGCCTCTATCATAGCCTCTATGGCCTCTGAACCTACAAATACAAAACGTTCGTTTGAGCTTGCGTATCCTACCTGCTGAAATTCATTTGAATTTTAAATTGATTTTATACGAAGCAGCTCTTTTCTCCATATGATAGACTGTTTAATTTATTTATTCGAAAGTTCGATTTGTATCTAGTATGAAACTCCCAAAGGGAGTCGTGTTTGACGGAACGTTCGATACGAACATGTCATGAGAAACGAGTAATATAATCATTAATTTAATCAGTGCTTCTTGCGAAATCGATCGACATTTTCCTTTAACCTCTCTCCTTTTATTCCCCCCGCTCCCCCCGAACACTTTTGCGAACGACCGAGCATTCCAGCCGCGTAACGATCAGGGGATAAAAGCGCGTAAGCAAATTCCTCCGTCTGAAACGGCAGCGCCCGTGAAAGTTGCCCGTGCAGACGATTTCGTACCGCCAGGTTTGTTTCCGGGCTTTGGCGTACCCTTCGACCTTTCATTCTCTCCCCCATCCCGCTTCGGTTCCGCGCGATAAAAAGTTCAATATCGAAGCTAAAAAGCCGGGGAGCTGCAGAAGAGCGGGCGGGGATCGTATGCAAGTACTTTTGCCGGCGTTTCAAAGTGGCGTGGGTCCCATTGACTTCCGGCCGGGAGTTCGAGCAGAACCGAAAGGCGAGAGAGGAACTAAGGTCCGGGCGGAAACTTTTCACCTCGGCTCTTTCTCTACGGATTCAGGTGAAACTTCTCGCCGCTCCGGAAATGGAAACTCCCGCGCTTCTGTTTCCATCAACGAGCGTCGGTACAAACCAACCTAACCCAGCCGATTCTCGTTTCCGTTTTTCTCGCTCGTCCGTTCTTTCTTTCTGCCTCGTCACTTTTCCCCCTGCCCATCGATCTCGAAGTTTCATATTCGACGGTACGAATGAAACGGGACTCTTCTGTTCGCAGGCCGCTGCCAGAACGTCGAGCAGGAACAGTTCGGCGAGGAGGGGAACATAGGAGATCCGCGGGACGAGCTGCAGGCCGACGATGCCGATCAGTCGTATGTATAAGTGCTTTATGCATATTTGATACCGCGGCTATTCAAACACCCCGCGTATCCCCCCCACCTCAACCGTTACGCTCGACGGCGGGCAGCTCCGATCGATGAAATTGAACTAGACGTCTATCGGACGTTATAAATTGACAAACTACCGTTTTCCGTTTGTCGAACTCTGTTTGATCAATTTCGTGAACCACTGTATACGATTCAGGCACAATAAGGCAACAATTGTTCGCTTACAACGACACGCAACGATGATACGACACAACGGTATGACACAAATTTCCCCGAGGAATGCGTAACGCGACGCTAGTTTTAATAAGCGAATCGGCTCGTTAATTGCCAAGGCCATCGCGTTTGTAGAACAGTGTCAATTGCCATCAACCGAACCTACTTTCGTGTCGATCTTAAAATAGCAATGCTTCGTTCAGTGTCAATTCTGTTTATTTAGTTTAAAAACCTGAAAATTTGCAACACTATTTTATGACAGCATATAAACGATGTATGATTCTTTTTCTATCCACTGAATGTCTGATTCGCGTCCTCTGTTGCTCTCACGAAACCCTTCAATCGACTTGAGTTGTACGCGTGGCTCGCTGATGGAATTGGCTGCGGAAGCGTCGAGTACCCAGTCTCGAGGATCAAACGGACGGTTTCCGAGGAACCGATAATTACGTTGCCGGCGCACGAAATAAGGGCGGTCGTATTACACACTCGAACTTTCTAATTAGCGTGTAACGTAGTCGATCCGCAGCCGCAGTCACGTAAACGTGGCTTCTACCTCCCTCCCCCCCTCCCCTCCCGGTGCCGCGTTCCGGTGCAAACCGTTCCGCTGCGTGTCCATGTTTCAATTACACGCTTGCATGACTTACGATTACCCAAAAGGCAGTACGTTCAGATGTCTTCAAACATCGTTACGACTGAAATGGATCTACCACTTTAGCAGAATAAAACTTGTAGAAGTAGATTTTATGTACGACGAAGGGATTTAGTGCTCGTCTCTCGCCGTTACATATTCCCGGGGTAACAGGGGGAGAGATGAAACAACCTGGGAAAAACACGTTTGACTATGTTCTCCATTAGCTGGGATGCGTCTCTGGAGGGTAGAAAGGCACCGGACGAGGATGGAGGTTCTTTCGCGTCTCGAAACGCTGAGGTCCCAAAGACGAACACGGAAACAGCGCCCCGAGCTGATGGAAACAAGGACAGGGTCCTTGTTCCGCCGGGAGGTGACACGCCCGCTCGAGACAGCTTCAATGTCAGTGAGTAAAAATGTTTGCTCTTCAAATGGGATGACTGCCTGCTATAATTTAGACGATTTGTTAGACACGGACGTTACCCAAGCGTCCCATTGCTGCCGGTACGGATCTACGCTGGCACAGATCTACGCCAGCATGGATTGGTACCGTCATAAGTCCGATTTCCACTTAATTTCATCAAGAATCTTCCTTGTAACAGCTTCCACGTCGATTACTCGTCGCAGAGGAGCGAGCATCGACCGGGGCCGGAAGAAACGTCGTAGAAACAAGGAATCGAACACCGAGGAGAACTGGCAACGAGAAGTATCACAAGATGTCCGCGAGAACGAAGTACGTGGAAAGCGTGGCGGTCAGCCTAAGAATTCGACGGATTCGCCGGCGAGGAGGTATCGCGCGGAGCGACGAAGGAGGAGAAAGAATCGTGAACGAAATCTCGAAAGGAAACAGAGTCGTATACGAAATTTCGGAAGGAAACGACAGAACGTTGATTGGACCAACGCCGGAATACCGCTCAAGTATAAAAGAAAATCATCAGCCAGGCACGAACCAGCTGCGTTGCTGCTTGCAAAGACGGATGATCAACTAACGGCCGGGGACAATGGTTCAATCTACGATTCCTCGAACGCTACTTGGAGGGGTGGCCAGGGTTTAAACAACTCCGACGTTACCTCGCCGTCGAATCTTCAAGACCAGTTGACCACTGAAGCTACAAAGCGAGCATCGATGCAGACTACTTCGCGCTACAGAATGTACGAAGACACCGTCGAAAGGGAGTTTTCCAAACAATTAGAGAAAGAGATCTCCAGGACGCAGATGGAAGATCCAGCCAGTTTGGAGAATCGTATCCTCGGTAGTTCGGTGTCCAAGCGACTTTACAAAACCGTAGAAACCAATAAAAAAGATACGGGGACTGAGTCAGTTATTGGCAACTCGAGATATGATGCTGAGAAGATGTTGGGTTATTCACGGTCAAAGAATTCCCCGATCTTGGACCTGGAGAACGAGATCCTGGCGAGAACATTGAAGGATTACAACAGCTACATGGCGTCCAGCTTGAAATTGTCGATGCTACCGAGGCGAGAAGACGTCGAACACAGAAAAGGGATTGCTGCTTCGCGTTTCCATGGGAAGCCCATAATAGATGAGGCCGGCTTCGAGAGAGTTGAAAAGAAGAGCACTACTGTTGTGTACGAAGACGACACGAAGGGGGATTTATCATGCATAAACGGGACTTTCGTGCCGGCGCCCCTTGCACGGCACGCGCTGATCAAATATGTAAAGTAAGTGGCTTTTAGTATGAATTATTCAACTCATTCTAAACGCACCGCTCAAACTACCTCGAGTTTCCAGTTCTATACGATTTTACTTGAGGATACTGGATTCCTCTTTCACTTTGCGTTATGCTTGCCATAAAAGACGAAATTAATGTAATCAGGCTTTTTTTAGTTCGATTGATTAGAATGGTTACAGAAGTTCGAATTCTCTACCTGTTCGTGTACTAATTGAGTTTTGCACTGAATCGCGAGAGGATCCGGAAGGTCCATTTCGATTCAAGAGTATCGAATTCTCCGAAGGAGAATAATGGTTGCCCTCGTAGAAGGAACGAAGATGAAAGAACCATAATTGCTGCGCTTGTTGTTCGTTTCGTTGAAAACGTTCTCTGGGCGGTGGGGAAAGGTTTCTTTCAGAGTTCTCTCCATCTCCTTATTGATCTGTTCTTTAATCGAGCGCATGCCTTCGCGCCGAGCAGCGTACGTGTCGCCCTTATTGCTCCCTGAAAATTTCACCTCTCCTCCTACCAATCTACTTTTTTCGTCGGAAAACTGAATTACCCGGTACAAGTTCGTAGGGATTGCGGAAGGAGCAGAAAACTTCTGCTTCGAACTTTTCAATATAGCAGAAATTACAATTTACTGAGGAGAATTAAAAGAACCGCTAAAGAGGACCTGTAATGAACATACATAATAACAATTTTCATTATTTTTATTCGGTTGTTGCTGATAATGATTTTAATAAAATTTTCGATAATTTTGATCACGGTTTAATGGATTTATTAGTTTCTAGTGGTATCGCGAGGTCTTCACTCTACTCAAAGTTATCGATTAATTTCTGTTTATCTACTAAAACTCCCTGCAAGCTCCTCAAGTTCGAGCGACCAATCAGGGAATTAATTTCCAGGGTCAATCAATCTAAGAGAAAGTTTGAACCCTCTCACGTTTTCCCTGCTACCACGTTTCTATCGTATAAACTTCCTACAATTTTCTTCCATGGAATTTCATCATTTATTTTGCCTGATGGAAAACGTCTGTGCCTCATAGGTCGTCGATACCAGGCCATGAGTACCTGGAGGCGGATTACGAATGCGCTCCTGGATTTTATATGGACAGCGCAACGAGCAGGTTACTATGCAAAGATCGCCGATGGATAGGTCAGTTACCGAAGTGCAAACCGAAGGAGAATTTCGAGGGTGTCTGCATCGAAGCTTCTTGCGAGCACATGTGCAAGGAAATAGACGGCAGACCCGTCTGTTCCTGCTACAAGGGTTTTCGGCTGGAGGGTGACAAATGCATCGGTGAGTTACCATTTCTATACTGACAGCAATGGTGAAAAGAATTTTCTTTTTATCACACAATTAAATTGTACGTTGATATTTAAAGGTTCCAATATTCAGTATTTTGAAATTCATTTTAATTTATTTATGTTGTTTAATTTTCATTATTTAGTTTCCATTTACAATATCTTTTACCTTTTATTTATTTTCATTTAACGACCGTCCATTTACCGCGACGTTTTCAGGACACGGTTTTATATTACGGGATTACGTATTCGTTGAAGATATAAAATATATTCGATCACGATTCCGTCGTAAAATTACCATAACGTTTCGCGATTTAATAATATTTCTGATAGCTCGTTGACTCGCGACGAGTTCCCCTCTCCTCCTTTTATCAGGATGAATACTAAAACGCAGAAGCGACACCGTTCTCCTTCACTAAAGGCGACCCGCCGAGGCGGTGAAAAAGAAATATTCCCAGATGAAATATCGACAGGATATATACGTTGAAATATTGACACCTTCCGCGTTCTGCGAGTGACACGTTCTTCCTATCCGTATTAGAACATCGATTTCGTTTTTGGGAAAAAAACTTTGCTCCTGATTCTTCGTATCGCTGCTCGTTTCATGTAAAGCCGTATCAAAGTTTTATTCCAAGCGTCGAAGGAATCACAGGGGTTGCAAGATGAATAGTCAAGTTCTATTCGGCTTTCAATATTTCTCCAGATTTCGTTCTTAAGGGAGAAACTAGTTTTAAACGTCGATAAGGATTCATACCGGTACGGATTGGTCCCGTTTATTTCTCAGATAATGAAGACGCAAAATTTGTTTGAATATATCCCACGCCTTTAATGCAAAATAAATTCAGCGCAATAAATAGGAGGGTATCAGAAACGTGAGATCGTACAACGAAAGTTAGCCAAATTTCCATAGTCACACGTGCATCTAACCGTTAAAATTCAGATGTGAACGAATGCGAGGATAATAAGGGAGGTTGCGAGCACGAATGCGTGAACACGGCCGGGTCCTTTCGTTGCGAGTGTCCAAAGGGGATGAAACTGGAGTACCGGTTCGCGTGCACGGGTGAGTGATTTTACCTGACGCTATCCGGAGACTACATCTCGTACGATGCGATACAACAGCTTCTATCGTTCTACTCTCGTTGTAAAAGCAACAAGTTTAGGAAATGTCGCAATTTCTGTTCACGTCACAATTCCTACTCACTGGTTTCTCTATAATTTTGTTATATTCTGTTTTGTTATCAATAATTTGTCACAGATATTTAAATAATTTCTCAGTATCTATAAATCTATGCACGTCTTTTTTAAAATTTAACAGTATATCAAATTTTATAAAAATCCGATTGTAAATTCTGTTAACAATAGAACTTCCTTAAATTGAGAAAAATTGGTGACTTGGAGGATTGGACAGCAGAGAAAGCTATGCTATAAAATAAATAACACTACATGTCCGTCGTTGCTTATTAATATCAATCGCATTGTATGATTATACTATGCCAGTAACAGTCCAGAGATTTATCCATCAAGTCTAACAATGCTAGTCATAAAACTCATACAATGTACGCAGTGAATTATTACCCTTGGCAAAAGGTCTTTCAAAGTAAACTCTAATAAAATAACAATAAATAAACCCACACAAAGGTTCGATATCATCACTGCTTATGTAATAAAATGTATATAATAATTCTTACCCCGTTCCCATTTTGCTTGTTCACCCGACTTCATCTAAAAGCCTTTTGCCAAGGGTGGCGTAACGAAACTGATAAGGTCAGCACCGTTTAAATTATACAGACATCAACGAGTGTCTGTTGAACAACGGGCACGGTCCTTGTCAGGATACGTGTCGGAACACCATAGGCGGTTATGAATGTTCCTGCGAGGGTCTGCAGGACACGGTCCTGTCGGCCGACAACCACACGTGTCAGGATGCCAGCCCCTGCAGCGTTAACAACGCCGGATGCTCGCACACTTGTCTATCCACGATGGGTCGCGTTTTTTGTCTCTGTCCCGACGGTTTCATCTTGAAGGACGACTGGAAAACCTGCCAAGGTAATGGAATTTCTTTCTCTTTTACCACTCCGATCCACGTTTGAAACGACGAAGGGAAAAATTTAATAATAGATTCAGACATGTGATGAAGAAATGTCTAAGTATTCTCATTCATCATTTTCTGTCATTCGAATGAACCGGCAAAATTAAAGTCTTTGTTACGGCTATTCCCTTTGCCTATACTTCAGAATTTTTCCCTAGCAATGAATATTACGAATTTTGAAGTTATTTATTTAAATGCAGGTCGAGGAAATGTACAAAATTATAAATAAAATGGTCTTTTATTGAGCAAATTAATTCACGTGAGGAGCTGTAGTTCTCCTCGTTGTGCAGGTCCACCTATGTTGTTTCAAAATTGAGAATGCACAAGTTGGTAAACAGGGCGACCTCTTAATTAGACCTGTCAGAGAAATCGAGAACGCGTATAATAGTCGCGTTTCACAGGCACTCAGACACCGCGGGCACACTTCTTCCGCTCTCCGTATTTTTAATGTCCCACTGTTTCTTTATGCACAGAACCATTTCCATCTTTTACGAGTCAGCCATCGTTAAAGATTTGCGAGACACTAATGAATGCTCCCAATTAATTATTACCAGCTATCTCGTTTACTTCCTAACTGTTTATTCGAACGAGCGCCCCTGTCGATTACACGCTCTTAAACGATGCGCACGTTCCAGTTTAATGATCAAAAGGTAAAACGTCTTTGGTACAAATTAATATTACCTCATTTCGCTTTTGCTCCGTTTCTCGATTGTAGTTACCGTTGTACAATTTAAGTCCTTTTAATGTGCGTAATATTTTCTGTTCGCTCTCAGACGTGGACGAATGCGCCCAGCCGGATTTGCAAACGGAGATGTGCAGGTACGGGTGCATCAACACGGCGGGATCTTATCGGTGCGCGGATCCGATGGAGCTGAAGGATCAGCCGATACTGGACAGCTTGTCGATCACCTGCCTGCCTGGTTACGAGACCACCCCCGACGGAACTTGTATCGGTAAGCAGTTTAATCCGTTTCAGACAATTTCACCGGGAATTCGATTCCGCAGCTAAGCCATGCGATAAACACTTTTCACCGTGAACTTTCCTTACAATCCCATGTTACGATTCCTCGGTTTAAGCGAAGTGTCTTTGCTATCACGGAAGTTTTGACGACAGTAGAATTAACGGTAGAGTCAGAATTTTATCATCCATTGACTTATACCGCATGTTTGTGGTTTGTTCAATCGTTGACCTGTACCACTTTCCCAGTAACGTTCAGTCGTTGACCTACACTACTTGTTCACTAGTGTTCCCTTTTACCTTGTCTTGTCTTGCTTATAATCTGATCACGGATGACATGATATTTTAATTGGTTTCTTCATCTGAAGTGCTTATTCGTCGACCTGTACTACTTGCTCAGTAGCATTCATTCATTGACCTATACTACTTGTTCCCTCTTGCCTCGTATTCCTAGTGCCTCTCCCCTGCAAATCTAATCACGTACGTCACAGCATTTTAATTGGTTTCTCACTCAGTAGTGATCATACGTTGACCCATACTACTTGTTCAGTAACGTTCATTCATTAACCTATACTGATTTTTCCCTCTTGCCTCGTGTTTCTAGTGCCTCTCTCCTGCAAATCTAATCACGTACATCATAGCATTTTAATGGGTCTCTTGCTCAGTGTCAGCTTATTATTCGTTGACATACTACTTACTCAGTAGCATTCACTTATTGACCTATACTACTTATTCAAGAGCGTTCATACATTGCACGATAGTGTTCCGTTTTGCTTTGTGTTCCTAATGCTAGATTAAAAAATTCATGTCGTTTCGTCAAATTGTAACGCAACTAATCCGTTTTAAAGACTGTCCACTTAACATACATTTACATACAAAGCATTCTTTATATTCCTTGCCGATATTTTTCTATAAACGTATGAAATCTGCAGCTTGAGACAAGAAAATTGTATCTTGAGCGGCGAATTATCCGAGGCAAAGTAGAGAAGGCTCTTAATGAGAAGAGTATGCTCTGTTCACGGTAGTAATTTCGTCTGTCGTTCATTTCGCGAGGATGAAATTCGGTAAGAGGGAACCGATGCGATGGCGCAGCACGATAACAATTAATCCCCCATAGGGAGATGAGCGTCGTAACAAGGTTCCGTCGTCGAACCGGTCCTAGTCGTGCCCCATAATACCGTTCTAGGCGATCCTGGGACGTAATCGAATTAGCTCGCGCCTGGATCCACTTCGTAGGCCGTCGCAGTCCCCTCCCAGGCTTGCACGTTGCAATATTGCCCCCAAGATTCGGGATTATTAGCCATCCGAAAACTGCACGAATTAATTACATCCCCGTTGACGATTGACAGCTATTGCGATTATAAAACCGATTCAAAGATTTGTAAATCTCGTGTCAATTTATCGTTGGATCTCCCTTATATGTATAAACAGCTATTATATTACATGACTTAAAGCTGACACTTAAAATTCATTCATCAACTGCAGACTTCGCACTCCACAAGAACTTGGCGAACTAGCTACTGTTTCTTTGCGTCACGTACAAATTTCGGGCTATTTATTACGGGAACTATCCAACTAGGATTAGTCAAATATCATTGCCACCATGCATCATACTCTTATTAGAGAAAACGTATAATCCACTCGCGAGATGTTACTAAGAACTTCCATCTTAACCGCTAACTATTTGTCACGTGAACTTGCGTCCCTTCGGTTATGCTATGACTGCTAGTAAATTGCTGTTAATTAATCTACGATAGTAATAAACAATCTAATAAGATCGTGGACTCAGGTACACAACGAGAAAATTGCATTTAATCGTCTGTAATTTCGTTAATAATGAACCGATTTAGTTCGTTTGTGGCTCAAATCAAATCTTGAACTCTCTATATTAACTGACTACCAGTTTAACCACAACACAACACAGTTCTCCCTGTGCACCACACCTCTTTAGTAGGAAAAATTGTATCTTAAAGAGAGAAAGGAACAAACGTCACGGAATCCCATTTTCACCTTTTCGCCACTGATTTGTTAATTCCCCGAGCGATTTTCTACGGAACGTGGCAGGAAACAGTCGTCGAGAGAAGTGAAATGATTTAAAGGGGAACTCCATTTAAAAGCGCCTCCGCGTTCACGAATTCTGATTACAAGTTGACAATTCAACGGAAACTTTTCCACGGACGATTATAAACGGTCGCCAGTTTGAGATGGAGTCGAATAGGAGAAAAGCGTTGGATAGAATTCATTAACGAAATTATCCTCGGCTCATTATGTAACGTACCCTGGGACCTCGTTCTACCGTCTCGAAGTTAATTCGGTGGAATTAAAAAATTTGCGGCGTAGATTTATACCGGCAAGAATTTCATTCTTCGAGGGGCTGGTAGTAAATCCCGTCGCGCGATTAATTCCTCCTACGGTTTATTATATTTACGCAGCTGCGGCCGACAGCTCCTCTCGGTGATTCAATGCCTCGCTTTCTGACGACCTCGTAACAAAAATGATGGCTTAACACGTCTCGCGAAAATTAGTACATCGCAGAATATAAAGGACGAGCCACCCGCTAGAAGGGAATGTTTTGATTGCACGTCAGGGGTTCGTTGATACAATTCAGGAGAGGAAAAAGAAGAAGAAAAACGAAAGCGCCGGCAGACTCTTGTGAAAAGTGCGCGAAGTTAACCCGTAATGAGATACTTAGAAAAATGAACGCTGTGTTCCACAAAAGTGAAAAAGGTACTTTGGGCACGAGCGAAATTTTCACGGACCGTTACTACGTATTCTAACAATTTTCAGAAGTTATAACGATGTCAGTAGAACTTGGCCTGAGTCGAACTGGGCGACAAAAAAGGAAACGTAGAAACGGTGAAATGAAAAATATAGCATCGAAATCGCTAGAGAACGTTTAATGAATTTTTCGTGGCATGAAGTAAATCATAAGCTACTTATCGATAAGCTTTTGGCTTTCCTGAAATTCTACACCATTAGCTCTTTAGCTACTGCATAAGAGAAATGCATTGACATGACAAGATTCGCCACGAAACTAAGTAAAAATTTCTTACAACGAAACGAAACTAATTCTGAATTTTTTGCAACGCGCGGACGTTTTACGACGTCGTTCCCGGAAGCTAGTAAGAAAAAGGAGAAGAACGTTTCTTCTCCAGTCCGTCTCTCGATGGCGTTCCCGTTTGTTCTTCTTCTTTAGTCATTCGCAAAACAGCTGGCCGAGTTAATCCGCGTTGATGAAACTTCGCTCAGCGCAAACCAAAATTACAAAGTCCAGCAATCCGCGAACTTTCCATTCTTTAGGCCACTTCGAATCTATTCTACCATAAGTTTCGTTGGATGAAAGGGTTCAGAGAAATTCTTAGAAAATTCGACCATTGCTTTTACCTCCTCAATTCTCGGTAGCATGCATAATACGATTGATCGCGTCAATCCGACCCTCCCACGCTTGACTACGCGTTTGCTGCAGCACAAAAACGTCGGTTCTAAAAATTTTATGAATCATCGCCCTCTACGGAGATAAGAAAGCAGTATTTTCTTTTCGGAGAATGTTTAGATTCACTTTTGTTTCTCGTATATGAAAGGATGGAATAATAAATTGCTCTCGTGTTTGTAGATATAAACGAGTGCACGGCCGACAACGGCGGATGTACGGAGGTGTGCGAGAACACGGACGGCAGTTTCTTCTGCGCCTGCGACGGTGACGAGAAAGCTCTGTCATCCGATGGGAAATCCTGCGTGGGTAAGATTTCCTTCTTGTACTGCATGCTTCAAAATAGATGGTACAAAGTAATAGCAAAGTAACAGCATCTGCAAACTCCTATGGTTTAATCAATTTGTTTACTTTATTTGCTGTAGTTTCGAGTAAGAATACCAATTCTGAATTTGTATTCGTATTGTATATCATTTCATTGCATTCAATCCATTCTATATCATTTATTGGCTTTTACTACTTGCTTGTGGTTTGTTCAGTCATTGACCTGTACTACTTACTCAGCAGCGTCATTTGTTGACCTATACAACTTGTTCACTAGTCTTCCCTTCTCCCTTGTTTTCCTAATGCCATTCCCTTGTAAATCTAATTGTGTACGTCATAGTATTTCATTGTTTATTCGTTGACCTATACTACTTGTTTAATAGTGTACCTCTCCCCTGCAAATCTAATCACATACATAATAGTATCTTATTTGCTTCGTTCATTCGTTGACCTAGATTACTTATTCCGTAGATTTCATTCATTATAATCAGGGACAAGCTCATTCTAAATTGATTTAACTTTGTGTTCGATGGATTTAAATTTGTAACAACGTGTAGGTCTCCGCTCCGTCCTTTCCTTGGAGCGTAAAAAACTTCTGGTTCGTTCTTTCATCCCTGCTTCATCCACCCTAGACCATTCATCATTCGTGTCCGCGAAACGCAATATGTTCCGTTGACGCCGTGTCGTGCGTCTGGGAAATTGTCCCCCAACTATACTCATCGTAATAATGTTATCGCGGACGCACACTCAGGCATCCTGTCGGTTCGAAGAGTCCTCATAATTATTAATAAATACACGACCAAGTAAAACGCGTCCCTTTGTTTTCAGTAAAATCATAAATTCCGCTCGCATCTCTTGGATTAATTCACTGCGCTTACATTCCTCTGTGCGTACCAAAGTCGACTCTTTTACCAGTTGTTTCGTTTCTGTTTTCTCTGCGTTTATTTCTTACTTCGCTTCGTTAATTAGAAGCTTTGTCGAAGTGTATTTACGTCGATGAAATTCCTCTGCATTTCAAGACAAGAAAGAAACGCTCCTCTTTCTATAGACAAAAAATATTACAAGCATACCTTTCCTCGATTTAGCCCACGTCGAACGACTTGTATTTGAAAATGAATAAAGTTCGCATGAGTTTTCTCAGCCTAAACCGCTGATTCGTTCCGTTCTGATTTTGTATCGCCGTATACTTCATGAAATTGGAACTCGGAACTTCACCGCTAGGCATTATTCCGATTTGGTTTCCGCCTGGGAGACGGAGGGAATTGTTCAAATTTTCGTTACGCGGGTTTACCTCCCCGGTTTGCATAAAACTTATCGAGCAATAAGAAAAGACACGAGAAGAAGTTCCATGGGCGCGACGGCGGCGGCGCGCGGTCGTGTCAAATTTGCATCGCCGCGGTAGAAGGGGACTCCTAACGTTTTACAAGTTTCCGCAGGCTGCGGAATATGAAATCAACCGACCCAGATTGCGACTGTTTGCCCAATTACCTCCTCGCCACCGCGACGAATTGATAATTGTTCAGTTTCTATTTATTTGAGAACCGAGCAATATTATGAATAATCACAAGATGGGAGACGTGCATCGGAGACTGACGAGGTTCTCCGAAATCCGATAGGAATATCGCATGGGACTGCATCGATAGATTCATGCACAATTCTCACAAATCCGTTTCCCACGAACAAGCACTTGCACCCGATAGTCATTAACGACCGCGATGCATTTATTATGCATGCGGAGTAATGGGTATTAGTATCCGATGATAGTGCACGCCTGTTGTCGCATCCCATCGCGGGGATCGAGATTGCATCCGTTGCGTATTGACGCCGCCGCCGCCTCGTCACATCGTCGCAGGGACGACGACGTAGCCGATTAACGGTGACAGAATGAATCCCATTGCCTGCGAAAATCCAGTTAATTGTAAGCGGATTAAAGGATTTGGGGATCATACGAATGATCGATAGCTATTATACCGTACCTCCGCGCTAGGTGGAGAAACGTCTCTGCTGGCGCGGAACGGTTCAGAGATAAATAGTCAGGAGTTTCGCGAATCGCGTTCGTTACCGTGTAATTGGTATTGTTTGCGATCTTTTCTATACAGCTACCACACAGTTTACTATTCAGTAGCTGTACAAATCGAACGGTTACCTCCAGGCTATTAACGGTGGGACAGCTAACGCCCCAGCTCCCACCCAGTAGCTGTACAAATAGAACGGCTACCGTCCAGCTACTACAAATGGTAGATCGTACACCCATTACTACCTATTAACTGTATAAATGATACAGTTACCGCAATCCTGCTGAGAGTGAAACTGTTAACGCCCTAGCTACGATTCCTACGACCCAGGATGATTCTCAGTCTCCTTGGCAAGCTGCAGATTTCAAATCCTGACGAACACAGTGTCACTCGATGTCGATCGAATTTGAACTCGATTTCAATGACAATAAATCCCAATTAACATTTAATTAAAATTTTTGTTAAAAGCTTTCGTGTTTCCCACAATCTCATATTTATTTATCTCATGTAATGGATGATCCACTGCGTTTCGTTACTGGAAATGCGAAAGTGTTTTAGATGGGAGTTTGGATTTACATTCTGTCCAGACATAAACAACGTATCCTGTCCACCGTTGAATCCTGAGGGCCGGGGATATTTAATGTGTTCCCGTTTGGCGACGCTGAAACCGTGGCGCGGCAGACGGAAGGTGGCCAATCGTCCGGGAACCAAGTGCTTCTTGAAGTGCCCCCACGGGTATCAATTGCACGGGGAGTACGAATTGAGTTGTCGGTCGGACGGTTCCTGGGACGGACCGAAGCACGGTGAATGCGTCAGTGAGTAACAATCACCCTCCTACGATCGTTCCTGTTTCCTCTACAATTATTCAAATCGCGAGACGGTACAAGTAATTGAAAATGATGAATTGTGGTGTTTGGTTAAATAAATTAGTAACGTTGAGAATAATTTATTCAATATTCAGTTTACAAGTATGGCAAGTTGTGTGCACATGAGCATTCCTAACAGAGACGATATGAGCTTCGCGTGTAAACATTCGACTTGAACATTTGTTCCGAATGAACGACAAACGTAACATGTAGATCAAAACGTAGAGAGGGAACATACCAAAGTATGTATATTCGTTTTGTAAGCATAGACAGTGGAATACGTGCATTTAAACGATTGAATCTGCATAGACGTACACATGCATAAATATTTGCGTACTATTAACATAGTCAACGTTCTCCTATTGCGCTTCGATTCTAATTAACACGTCCGTTGCACTGAGATTGGCCATCGATATACTGTGTACCTTCTGCCATACTAGATTTATAAAAATGTTCACACATGTGTAACATCAGGTGGTTTCGTTTCAGGATACAGCAAACCTCGTTTGGAGTGTCCGAAGGACGTGATCGCGGAGTTGCCGCCGGGACGCGAAGAGGCGTTCGTTACGTTCGATCAGCCGTCGACGGATCTCGATTGGTTCCGTTACGTGCGCTCGAAACCATCCTGGGGCACACGGCTCGAAGCGAACCTATCGCCAGGGATCCACGAGATCACATTCTTCGCGAGGCATCCAGTGTCCAAGAAGCAGGCCAGCTGCGTGTTGCGCATCATAGTCAAAGGTAATTGAGTGCACGAAACCAACGCGTGACCCAATTTTAATCGGCGATATCAAACGCGATACACAGCTCCCTCCAGCGAATTGAAGGACCGGTCTTAGCGCACATTGTGTATTAGAAACTCTTGTCCCTTCGCTTTTGCCGTGGAAATCCCATACCCAGGACGCTTTAATTAAATGCGTTTTCGAGCTAGGGTTCGCCGCAATGCTGCGTAATCTACGGATCCCCCGGCCCGCGAATTAGATTACTCGGCGAATCCCCGACCGGCGAATGCCCAACTGGTTCTTGCCGGAAACCGCTGAATCTCGAGGCGCACACCCTCACCACTGTTTTACCCGTTGGGATCAATAAGTTCGATGAATATATCTAAACATACAATGTCACAGAAAATTGAGCAGATTGGGAATTGGGGAAATCAAACACTGCGTCAAAGCAATTCAAATTTTACGAATAGATCAATAATTCTTGACACACGGATTTGTTTCTTCCTGTACAAAAACCATTGAGGGAAGGCAATAACAAATCGTCATGGTATTTGGTTTTAGCTGGGAAAGCGGAGGACGAACCAATTAAATCTCTCGGCAAAGCTAAATCCCCACGTTCTCTGTAGCTATCGTATAACACGAGATTAATTCGTGTCCCGGGAACGGGTGGGTTGCTGTAATCCGTGTAACATCGACGATTCCCTTTGTAAGGCAATTAAACCTCCGCTTACACGTTAATATTACAAGCGATCTTTCCGTCGAGCGTGTACTCTTGTTCCACGAAATCCGCAATTATATTGCCTTCGCTCTAGTTACAACGTTTCATCTGCAAAACACAATTTGACGTTCCATCATCCAATGACAGTTGTTGCAACGGTAACCATTTTATTTACTCTGTACATTGCAGTGACATTTGCAACCCCTTCATTATGATAAATAAAGGATTAATTCTGATTTCCTGTAATTAAGACGAAACTGGATGTCCCAGAAGAGAAATTCCTGAATTTCATTTTCCAGATGGGCATTAAAAATGTTTCATTCCAGTTCCCAAAGAGCTCTCTTTGCATAATCATAATAATATCTACTAAACGACGTTTATTATCGTTGCAGTTAATTCAATTAACTGTATGCCTGGAACTGTGAACTCCTTAACTTGGCAGAAACTCGTGAAACGCTAATGCCACTTCCATAAACGTCGAATGCTGTCTTGGTTTGCTTACGTGCCGTTCCTTAGCCAAGATTAAATTCCGCGTATTGTTATTCATAATGTCAAGGTATACTGCATCTTAGCAGACAAAAATAACTGTGCTAAACCCGTGACGAAGAATTTAGTAAACCGTTTCCATTCGTCGTTTCTGCAGTTACCTTAATAAGTCAAGAAGACCACTTTCGGGAAATTGTTTCAATTTAGCGATACGTCTACCTCAATCATAGAGTACAGAGTTGAATTTCGACCGTTCCTCCAAAGAATGATATTATCCTTCGTTTTATTTCACGAAACGAGAAGAGAGGACTCTGTGACGAAAAGTGGCCCGCGTTTGATTGAATTTTCGCCGGGGTATTTTTCAGGCGGCGAGGCGCCGAAAGTGAAGGACTGTCCGAACGACATAGAAGTCGTAGGAAGGAACGGCACTGCGATTACGTGGACCGAGCCAATTTTCACGGACAACGTGAAGGTGACCAGAATCAAAAGCAACGAGGTCAGTAATTTAATTATAAACCCTGTTAATTATTATCAATTATGATCGCATGGATCAGTCATACCTCTCATTAATTAATTCCTTGACGTATCCACGAATATTGCGGGGAAATCGTGGACTCTTTTCACCGGTAATACGCTTTGTTCAGTATTTCCAATTGATACGATTTAATTGATCATGATGAAACGAATAATCCGTACGATTTAAAAACATTCGCTGAATGACATGAATGCGAATGCATAAAAAGCGGCCCATTAATCCGTGCAGCAGCAGATTATCACGATTTTCCTATAATCAAGTAGCTTTCGACTTCTACAGTACCAGTTTTTTTTAATAAATTGTTGCAGAGCCCGGGACGGCATTTCGACATCGGTGGCCATCGGGTGGAGTACGAAGCTAGCGACGAGGCGGGCTGGTCGAGTAAATGCGTGTTTACTGTGGTCCTCCGTTCGGAGTGAGTAGGAAAACCGGTGGTGAACGCGAGGACAAGAATAGGAAAAGGTGGGCAGGGAACGATAATGGCTCGGAAGGATAAGGTAATATAAATGGAAATACTGTGAACTCGTGCACGTAATGGATTCCGTTTCGTCGGTATTTCGCGATACACGCGTGGCTGATGGAAATTTTACAGCCTCGACCAGTCGGCCGGATATCGTCCTCTTATGAAATAATTTCAGTCCATGAGCCAGTAATCAAATTCTTGGCGTAGGGAAACGATCAGGGATCGAATTTAGCTTCGGAAAATTGCCCCACGCTCCTTCTCTTACTTTACACTGATTTATCGCTCGTCTAATCATCCAACCGGGAGTCTAATTTCTTCGTAACTTTTAGTTAGATCATTGCTCTGTTTCCGTACCAGTCATGAAATAACAAAGAAGAGAACAAACATCCATCTGAACCTTTGTATTACCGAGACGACGAAAAGGGAGCCGCATTATCGGCTCCGTAACAAGCGTTGCAACCATATAGCGAACCTGTCGATCTTCGAGAGAAAATTCGATCCACATCTCATGTTAGACGGGGTTCGTTCTCCTCTCTGTTACTTTCTAGTATAAATACAATGCAGGGCGCAATAAGGAAACTAAGGAAGATTCGGGTAACACTCTGGCTCACGATCAGATCAATTCCATTTCGACAATTACGATCGACGCGCTATGTCAGCACGAATTTTCGCGATCCATTCTCGACCGCTACTACGTTTCAACAGAATTACGAGGACGGCCGCGTGACCAGCGTGCACGATACGACGTAGGACAAAGGGTGGGAGTAGGGTGGAAAAAAAAAAAAATAGAGAGCGATCTGTGGATACGTAGACGTCACAGACTGGGGAATCTATCGGTTCTATGCAAATCTGCTGGTATCGCCCGTTGTCGTCGAATGAGTTTTGTCTGCCACGTTTCGAACACGATCCAAACGAAATGGACATATATCTATAGGTATACGTTGGTATCATTTGCATGCATTGTAACGAACCCAACGATTTTGCGCTCGTTTCTTTTCAAAGCTACTGTCCGATCTGAAATCGAGTTGTCCTAGCCTTCTACCCGTTGACCAGTAGATCGATAATTAAAAAATTGACGAATCATTTAAGGCCTGGCCTTAAATTGGAGGATAAAGCACTGGGTTTCTAAAACGCGGCCTGCAAACCCAGTCAGATCATCCTCGATCTTCAATTTATTGAGATTCTTTAGGTTTCCGTTCTTTTTTCTTTGTGAAAGACTAAGAATTTCGTTTCGAGGATGAAATCATCTGTATCTAACCGCGACTTAATATGTATAATGAGGACTAATAATCGAGATCAAACCGATTAAACCACTTTGACTAATTAATAAGTTTAGGGACAATATATGGTAAACGTAATTAGAGGTGATCAAATTTGGGTGGTCGTATTGTGATACCTTCAATTATATCGATAAGCCGTTCTATGCGTTCGAACTCGTAATTTTTAGAATTAAGCGAAACAGATTAAGAAACGTCCCTTAGGTATCAGTCGTCTCTGTTTCCATCGACCGTCGACGATTGCGCAGCCCGTAAAATTTCTCAAATTAATTATTTAATTGCAATAAGAGTGATCGGATAATAAATAATTGAATGAAATTGATTGAATTGAAACGATTAAATAAACGAGCAGGCGTTTAATATTTTATTTATTAAAGTGAAACTTCATACATTAATGATCGCTCGATTATTATTTATGATCTCCCTTATTTTATTTCCTGCAGCGATTGTAATTTTAGATTGCTTCATTTTCGACGATGTTTCTGTCATCGCCAGGTTCCCCGTTACGGGAAAATAGCATTGTCCCGCGAAGGCAGGGAATACTTAACAAGCGCGACGTTGAACAATAGGCTATCAACAACGCAAATTGGCATAGTGAGTAATGCTGACTGACAAGTATAGGCTGGCCCGTGATGAAATGAGCAATTTCATTCTGAGGCAAGATTTTCCATCGTTATTATCGGGCCAGTTAAAATTCAATTAATTGATATCAAATTAATTGCTAGTTCTGCAGACAAGAAATACACTGAATCGATATGGCCATCTGTTATTATTATTTGATTAAAAGAAAAAATGAGGAGAAATGTACCTGTACTGTTGTTGGATTAATAAATCGTCAAGAGGCATCGCGCTTGTTTCCCTCCATAGCGATCGAAACTGCAGTTGTGCTTTTTGTGTGTCGTTCCGAGAGCTCGAATTCCGTGATCGATGACGTCGATGGGGAAACGGAGGCAGGAAGCAGGGACCTCAGCAAGGGAGGGACTAGCGTTAAAACCTAAGGATCTTAATCGAAGGGTGGAAATAAAAAGAGGTCGGTTTTAGCGTAAGCGAAGTGTTCGTTTATTAATACCCCTCTCCACGCCACTCGCATATCATTGTTAAGAAGACAGAAGTAACGTTCGATTATTATTCGTAACATTAAAACTACAGTAAAGTGTATAAAAATTTATGTATCAAATACATGTGTATATATATATATGTATATTACAAAGAACAAGGAAGGAAGGTAAAAAAAAAAAAAAGAAGATGACATAGTGAAGAGAAGAGATCCTGAATTATTCCACAGCTTCTCCCTCTTCTCCTTTTGCCAACCACTTATACAGTAATTAACTGTTACGAGAAAAAGGCAGTGTTCAATGGCAGCAGTGATTGCATATTAATTATTAGACTGCGTTCGTCATATCAAAATTGTTCATATTCATTCATTGAATAAATAATTATCGTGTGAAATTTCAATGAACAAGTATTCGAACAATCTAACAATTGTGTCCTCATTAGTTTTCGCATCCTACGATTCGAGCTCGTCGCAAATTAATCCTGGCGCACTTCCAACTTCAAATAAATAAAAATTAAACTGAAAGTCACTGAAAGCCGTTTTAGAAATCGTAGAAGTACAAATCTTTTGACGTTAAAAACCCACTAGGGAAGAAGATGTATTACCAATCAATAAAACCTCTCGTTACTCCGAATCGTCTTAAAGACAAGAGCTTTTACCCTAAAAGGGCAATTTGTTCCGCGCGAAGGATTAAAAAGCGAAAGAGGCAAGAGTCGTTGAATAAAAGAATACCGTTCCGTTTCCTTTTTGATCATCGCGGAGATCGCCGCGAAATCGATCGGGTTTAATTAAACTTAATTAAAGCGAGGAACGCGAACTAGTACCGCCCACCCTTCTTCATTCCACCCCTTGGCGCGCGGGCTCTTGACATAATTTATGCGCGATTCTAGTCGAACCGGTTTTTCTTCCATAGTTAAATAACTTTCGGCTACTTCGTCACGAGCGCGACCACCCCGACATATTTCACCCTCTCCCCTTTTCAGCTGTTTACCTACTTGTATCACCATTGCGTATCGATATTGAATATTATAACGTATCGTCGTTGCATCTGCAATAGCGCAATCAAGCCTTGGATGCGCTGTAACACACAATGTAACACATAGGTTACGGACTGTGACAAAAACGTTACAGTCACGTTATTCAATGATTTATTTAGATAATGATTGCTAATTTGGAATATTTGTCAGATATTTTGGGACGAACAAGGGAACAGAAGAATGCAATGATTGTCATGATACGCAACGGTGACACGAAAGTGGATTCTCTCTTTTACGCGCAGCATTTGCCACGTCGTGGTAGAATCCTCGTCTCGACTCGTCCTCTACTGACGTAACGAGTATTCCCTATCCTCGTGGAATCTCGTAGCTGGTGATTCCGCAGCTGCTGGAATTGATACTGCCTCGAGTGACGATCTGCGAACAGAATCATTTGAATACAAATGAAATGTGTGATGACTTAGACGAGCTCCAGGGAAATTAGATTTCATGTCCATTGCGTTTGACGTAGTGAGTAATTATCAGCTGCATCTGATAAATAAAGTCGACATTTTTACTTCTCTTGGCAGCGATCAATCTAGTCGTGTTTCGTCGACCATGGAAATAAATCGATTTCAAACCGAATGGATTACAAGCACGGTGGAGTTCGGTCACTAAATTTTTTTTTTCACCCAGTAAATCATCGGACGTCGATTGATATCCGATTATAGCAGTCCATAACTCAAACATATACGTAGATCCTTCCTGATTTATCTGTCGACGCGAGTGCTTTAGTCCATGTACCCTTTCGTAACTTAAATGCACCGTTCCCCGGCTTGGTTTCTAAATAAAATGAAATATCAGGGCATACAAACAATAAGAATTCCTCGCTCGATGTTCGACATTTATCCAGCGTAAAAAATATGACGTATGGCCAGAGAGGTGTTTTATTGTTAGCCCGTTTGCAGTTCGTTGTTGAGTCCCCTAATAATTTTCAAGATTTTTCTCGGTATCGGCTTAGCCCTTCGAAAGGCTTGAAAAATTAATCGAAACAACGACGACGACTACGACATCGCGGTTTGACTCGCGTCGTAAATTCCGTTTCGCCAACTGCGATGCGGTTATTAGAATTATTTACAGCTCGGAATTTTAGATGACCGATAAAACGCGGTTTACACGAGCCAAACGAGGTGGGGCGGAGGCGACGTAGACACGTGTTAGTGATTTGTTCCGCGGGAACGTTCGCAATTAATAGCATTATGGAACGCGCGTATGCACAATGGATAGCGATAATTTGTATGCATACCCAAAGCAAATACCCTTTATTGAAACACCATTACTTTTGACCCCGATGAACAACTTAATTGATCATGTTATTCGCTAATTTGCCAATAATACTCAAACCAGCTGTAAAAAAGTACTAAATAATTAATAAAAATAACTTAGACAACGGAATTAGAACACTGTTTTCTTTAATCTAGCGCTCTTTAACCCACTACTCTTCTCTATCAACTCGGACTTCTTCTCTGCCATAGACAACAAATTCTGTACTTGCTCTACTTCGACCGATGACAGCGTCGACTCAAGATCAGGTAAAAGGGCGTCGGTTAAGCTTAACGATGCCAATTCACCGATGTCCGCGTTATCCTGATTGGACAGCACTCTCTTCAATTTCTTTATATATTTCTTTAATCCAGCTTGCATCGCGATGCCCGCTTTCGAGTCCTGCCTAGGCAGCTTCAAATCGTCAGCTTCGGCCTCTTTGCCCTGATTCCTTTCAAACCTCGAGGAAAGTTCAGAAAGAGTTGAAGACTTGGCCCCTCCGATTTCCAACGACCTCGCGTTAGCATGCAACAGTCCTGTGTCGATTTTTGAACCTGTGGCAGGTCTCTGTTGCAAACTTCGCGATTTAGCTATAGTGGAAACGTTGCCTTTGGAGTATATTGGATTCCTGATGGCGCTCGATGCCCTCCTTCGATTAAAATCACTTAGCCTCTCCTCTTCCTTCCTGTCTTTACTAGGAAACGAGTCGAGCGTCGCTCTTCTTCCATATGCATTCAATCTCGCATCTCTTCCTTGATTCTCAATACTCATCTTCCCCTCCTTATTTCCGAACGCGTTTAATTTTTCATTATTTACCTCGATCCTCCCTTCACACTCAACGCGGTTCCCCTCCTCTTTGTCGCAGAGCGAATTCGCATTCAATTTCGTAGGAGCGTTTAATCTCGCGGAGTTTACCTTCATTTTCCTCTGATGCCGTTCCGTGTTCATTTTCTCATCCTCTGTATTATTATTCCGGAACGAATCCAGCTTGGATCTTCTCCCATTCGCGGTGAATTTATCAGAATCTGCTTTATCCTGATGTTTCCTGTCTTCCATATTACGCAACGAGTCGAACGTGGGTCTCCTTCCAAACGAGTTCAATTCTCCAGAATTTACATCGATCGTAGTTCGATGCTCTTCTTTATTCTTCGATTCGTACGTGGTTTTCCTTGTATCTGATGCTACCTTTGGCGAGCTGGCATTCATTTTTGTCGTCTCACCTTTATAACGAAATGACCCCGACGTCAATCTTCTTCCATGGACGTTCAATTTTACAGGGCTCTCGCTCTTGATCGACGATTTCCCTTCGATTTCTACTTTACATTGAGGCCCTTCGTAATTTAATTTCATAGAACCAGTTCTCCTCTGATCCATTTGCTTCTTAATGTAGTTGCTGCATAATTCGATATTTTCCTTCGAAGCTTCCTTTTTCCGCTCACTATTTTCCCTGCAGGGGTCCACTGGCACGTTGCCAGGCTGTTCCTTTGATGCAAACGCCTCTGAAGATAGTTCCTTTTTCAAGGCTGATTGTTTTGTTAGGGGACTGACAGTTCGTGATTTAGGTGCCCTAAGTTTATCCTGTTGTTTGACCCTCGATTCTTCCACGTTCCTTTCATGCATTGATATTCGAGGTTGCGTCAATAGCCTCTGTTGCCTGTCTCCCAACAAAGGATCCATTACCCTCGATGATTGCATCCTAGACGAACATGTTTTCGATAAATAATTTGTTGAATGTTGCGAACGTCTAAAAGAATCAGCAGGTAAATCTTGTATGAATAAGTTAGCCATTGAATTGGGCTGCAACTCTTCTGTCTCGCTCTGGATGGCCTCCAACCTCCCGAACTGTTGACCATTCATTTTTATTGATTCCTTCTTAGAATTCCTGTCCAATGGACCTTCCAAATCTGTTTGATGGCTCTCGAAATTTCTAGGAAGAGCTTGCTTGCTCTGCTTATTCGTCGTTTTGTCCTTTTTCTTAGCCTCTGATAGCTTCGACGTCGCACCGTATTTTCGGTTGAAGGACATCCGCGTGTTTCCGGTCAGCCAAAGCTTCTCGGATTCGTCGCGACTTTTCGACGCTACGGAGGAATCGCGGGAACGAGCCGAATGATCGCGCTGCTTACTGGAGACGCTGAGACCGCTTTCAGAGTCGATCGAGCTGACGGTTGTGTAATTCATCGATTCCCTCTCGTTCCCGTCGGCTGAAGACTGTATCTCGTGCTTATCCTGGCGTGTCCGCAAGCCTCGGTATGTTTCCCGTTTCGAACTGATCGAATCTGTGCTGGAATTTGTCCTCGAGAACTTCGTTGCGCTCTTCCTGCCTGACGATCGGTGAGGCAAAGATTTCTTTGACGCTGAGGACTCCGCGCTGCCGCTCGATGGCCTCGGCCTCGTGTCGCGTTTTGAAGATTCTATAATTCGTATGTTGGAACACGTCTCTTCAGTTTTGCCAATGAGTAATTGTTTGTAGAGGTGAAAAGTAGACAGGCTAGCGGGAAAACTGAGTGTGCAAGTGTGTTTGAGTTATAATAAATTGGAAGGGTTTGGATCTTTCAGATTTTTTTTTCTCGGAATCTAACGTGTAAAAAATTCTGAATATCATAAGAACAAGTGGAACATGTGAGAACTTTTTCAATTCATTAAAAAAATTTTTGAATTTTGCCAAATTCTGAGCCGAGTTCCCCTCGATATTTGATTCTCGTGATTTTTTTATATTTAATTTCTACAGTTCCAGCGTATGAAATTTAATGAAAAATAATCAGAAATATACTACTATACGAGTACCACACGTGACAATTGTTTCAAGTGTCTCCATCCGTTATTTATGTTAAATAAAAGTTAATCGTAAGCGAAATCATGGCTAGCTGAGTAGAAATCAGGACACTTGCGCTACAGAATTGATCTCTAGCTACTCAATTCCCTTTTACCTTGTCTCCTCGAGCCACCGACGATAGTATCATCGTAAAATGAAATCCTAGTAGATTTCTCATCCTGATCAGCCGCATCAGCTACGTCCACGCGCTTCGTTTCCGTTTCCTTCTCAGCGGTTTCCGGCCTCTGAGTACCCTTTACTAAAAAGTGATCCAACGGATGCATATACTCCGTTTCCCTCTTACTCATCCCCTTCGTGGCATCGTAATACTCCTCAACGAAGTCAAAGAGACTATGATGATAATCATCATTCAGCTTGACGCCGATAACGAAATCATTATTATTCAAATGAATGGAATTCAAAACGACGTCTCCAGGCGGCTGATAATCGTCGTATTGCTTCCTCAGCGCAGCCTCTATCAGTTTATATCGGTAAGCGTCGTAATCGAACGCGGATATATCGACGATCGGCAGTTCGGCGTTAGTAACGATAAACGAAGACGATTGCTTAGGCATATCCTGTCTTTTGATGGTCCCTTCCGTCTTCCCTTCGGTCTCGTGCCTCGATACCCTCACGTTATCCCCGCTGGCTTGTATTATCGGTGTCGAGATCGTTCTTCGCGCTGTGCTCAGGAGTAGATCTGCACTGGAGCTGGAAGCTGAGTCGAACGTCGACACTGGGTAATGGGTTACCACTCGATCCTCGCTTCGCTCGATCTTCTTCAAGTTGCTCGCACGGTTCGGCCAATTCGTCTTCGCTTTCATTGGGTTCTCATCCTGCGCCAGTCGTGGACTATTGAATATTCCGATGGTGTACGCAAACAAGAGGAACGAAGTCAGGATTTTTATTGGATTAGCTGTTGTATGAACTCTGGTATTGTTTGGAGAGTTCAGAGAATCTGCCTTCGTTCCTTCGTAAAGAAATATATCGCATACAAAGGGAATTGTTAAGTTTAGTGGCTTGAGGCTTCAGCCATCTTCAGCTACAGCGTGTAGCATTTTTGTTACATTAATAATTACATGAATGATCGGAAATTATGAAGTTTATACGGACCAGGATCCCCCAGAATGAACCTCAGTCCAAACAATAATACAAATTTTCTTAAATCGAATGATTTAAACCCACAGCTTTGGCCAATTTAATGGCCAATTTTACTCCCTTAGTTCGTTTCTCTAACGTCACAAGAGTACGTAAACAATTCCATACGGTGATTCTACAATACGTTCGACACATCAGAATAATAATTAGTCAAACGAAATGCGTACTAAAGAGTGCTGGATACGGAGGATCAGTGGCAGCGCCAGGAGGATCGCGAGAGTTAACGCGAATATGCTTTCCACGACGAACGGCGGGATCGATTGCAAGGTTAAGACGAGTCTTCCGGGTGCCACGACGTTCAGCATAACGGTGGCGGGTTACTCGGATCAGCGGTCGATCTCCGTCGGTCGTGCTCCTCTCCTGGTTCTCGCGCCTCATGTTAGAACTCCGATCGCCGGATGGTAGCTCGAACGATCGATATCGTTCGCAGCTCGCACACTGTCCCCGGGTATGTCTTCCATAATTGAACGATCACCGAAGCCCCCGATCCCGCTTCTTACTTTTACCCTTCGTTTGTCTTTAGACCGCGAATAAAAAAACGTTTGATCCTTTCAATCCTCCACAAATAGCTTCAGTTGATTAGATCGTCTAAAGGCGTGTATTCATTTTCCATTTATTGTTTAAATCCCCATCGATAGTTATTAATGGTTTACGAAGTAATAACAGAATTATTGGGCGAGAGGAGCAAAAAGCTGTACCTCTCACAGACGAGTCCGTTCTGAAATAGTTTTTATTTGTCCGTGACAAACTAATATCTGAGCCAGGCGAATGGTTTCCGTATCGATGGCGTTCCCCAGATATTTTTTCAGTTGGAAAATGTTTAAAAAAAAACACCTGGAAATCATTTAAATAATCCACCGGTCGAAAATATTTCCTCGATATAGACTCGGTCCCCATCGATTGCTATTCCTTGTCTCTGAGATTTTAATATCGGCTACGTTTGTCGTCCCACGTTCGCCCCTGTTTACTATCGCGCCCACATTCGCGATGGGACTTTGGGTAAGCCCCAGGAATAAGAATTTTCCCGGCGAACGATGTTTTTATCTGATACATACGCTACGTGCGACTTTCATTTCTCTTTTTATTAAATCCACGAATTGTTAATAATCTCCGCTTTTAGCGGAAAATTAAGCATTTAATATTCTCTCGCGATTAAAATTATCTTAATTGAAAATACAAGATTGAGGGAGAGTAAAAAGAAGAACGGCAAGAGCTTTGCACGTTTAATTGATATCGTTAATATCGACTCTATAATTGTCATTCCAGTTAATAGAAACATGCAAAAATAAAAACATTCTTGTTCAATAACGAACTGATCAAATAATCCGCGATGCGAAATATCGTTTAATATATATTCATCCTTATTTAACGACTGAACGTTTAAACGTAACACGATAAGCGGAGTATTCCTGTAATTGGTGCATTAGCTCCCGTTTGCACGGATCACCGGGGCTGCACGTTCCACGGGAAATTATGACTCCTTCAGCGAGACAATGTAAATGATCCGTATCCGAGGAAAAACGCGAGCACATTAATTATTGATATTCCGTGTTACGAGTTGACTGGTCCAAACGTAATTTCCTACCAGCCGGTATATCGTTTTTGGTATAACGATTGTCCATAACAAAATTAATGGCGACTGGCTTGTGTCGTTTTATTTAAAGCTCGTACATACATATACAAGAGGAAAAATAGAAAGAAGGGACCAGAATTAAATGAACTTGCAAGGATCTGAGATGTTAAAAGTACTCGCTTATGGTTGTGAAAATTAATAAATGGGCTCATTTGCGATTTTCCTATTCGTCGCTAGTGCAGCGTTTCATGCAGCCATGAAAAATCTCTTTGTAAGGATTTCTCCTCTTCGTTACTTCGTTCCTTCAGTACTATTCGTTTCATAGGATTGCGTTACATGTTGTGGAAGAAAGGAATACTCAGAGCTAACAATGAGACAATGTAATGGGGTTCCAACGTAGCTCGATGCTAGTCGGGGTCCGCAGGCTTCCACCTCGCCATCTCCGATTTCTAAATGAACGTGCGGATTCATGAACAATTCATTTATGATTCTAACATAGATATTAAATTGTACGCGTTAATCTCGCAGACGTCACGTTGCGTGTCGCGACGCATCGACGTTAATCTAGAATTTCATTAAAATTTCATTAAAACCGGCCGAACGACCGTCGGTGGTACATAAACTCCGACGGAATAGTACCGTAACGAGGTTAAGGATTATCCAGACGTCGCGTCGCCTGTTTCTCGTTTATTTGGCGCAGTTCTCGCGATCTCGCGCGTTACGAATAAAATTTCGGGGGTTTTAATTATCGGCACGCCACCTGAACAGAAATTCCTTTTCTAATTTTCTCTCAGGCTATTAAAGACAGAATGTCATAAAAATTGTTAGAAATGGTATGTACAGAAAGTATACAAATTGAAAGACACACAAAAGGCAGCAAAATGTTGATGATTTTTTAAATTACAAAGGAAATTCGTATTTTATTTTCTATAAATGATTTACTTTGCGCAAAGATCGGCAGACTAATTAAGTACTTAAACCCCGGTGCCGATAAATCCTTCCAAGGATTTCCAACAATCGCGTTCAGCGAGGCTTCAAATGAATTCCCCTTCATTCCAGCTAGTAGCGAGTAATTTAAATAATTTCCGTCGCTAGTCGACGTTATTCAAATAACTGACGATGAAATTAAATAATAGACAGAATTAAGCATGACTGTCACGTAGGTAGCAACCAGTTACCACGAGGGAAATTCCCGGCTCGGTGCGAACGACCTGATTTCCAGAATCTTTCGTTAAAGGTTACTATTACCCTTCTGTTCATTATTTTTGGGGGCCGGATTTCCACCGGGAACGGAAAAGGAATAACCCTATTTTCTCCGTAGACACGATCATTAATCTATAAGGTAAGTACCATCAATCTTCTTGTATCTTTCAGACACACGGACTCAACTAGATTGTCCGTATTTCTTTCTGGATTAATCTTCGATAAAACAATTAATTGCTTCAAGCGATTGCAATCTGCATAATTAATTATTTATAATTTTATACACGATTATAAATTACGTCATGAATTTTGAATGAGATATCGAAATTGGGTAATGCAATGTCAGCGACTGTCCATCCGTAGCGTCTGTCCCCTAATTCAACAGCCACAGCAGAAGCACGTATCAAGTATTTCGTACGCCACGAGTCGCTGCCGTTACTACGCCCGCATCCTTTCGTACGAAGAAACCCGTTAACCGTTGTCAAACGCTCCGTTAATTCGTCAGCCACGAAATTAGTCGTTCTCGTCCTGGTCTCGTTTCCGAATTTACTCGGCCACTTGCGAGATCGTCGTCCAAGTGCGTCGTTTCCCTCCGAGCTTCCTATTTCAGCGAAATCTCCGCGGACCAATTTAACGTGTGCCCAGGCGCGCGTTAATTCCTAATTACCCGTCCGAATTACAGCCCTCGCGTTTCCCATGAAGACGGAATCTGCGTCGACGCATGAGATACAATGTGCGACTCCTGGATCGACGGGTTTAAAAGCTTTCCCCAGGATCCAAGAATTTAATTTCCCGGGCAGCGTCCCTCGCGCAACGGCTTCGAGACCGATCGGCTCTGATTGTATTATATATTCATACGTCGCCCGGGTGAAAAACACGGCCTCGGGGGGTGACGGTAACGAGAAACGCGACGTAATCCGTCGCTCGGAGGCGAGCCGTGAAAAATGATGAAGCGGCTGAAAAATGTCGAATGTATCAACCCTCCCGGCCTTTTTATTTTTAATAACATCTCCCAGGCGTGTCTGCCTTCATAGCGAATAGAATTTCTTTTAAATACTCAAGTGTAATTCATTCATCAGGCATTCGAAAGATTCTCTCGTTCATTTATCGAATCTTTTTTAGTTTAGCAATAATCGCACTTCGGTAGTACCTCATTGGTTACGATATCCCCCCAGCTGCGCAAGGCTTATCAAATCTTCTTTTAAACAAATCTACATTTACCATGAATATCCTAATGTGTGTTGCACTTAAAACCACGAATTGTATTTAGAAGAGCCGAAAGAGTTTTCGACCGCGTTACGTGGAAAATCGAGGCTGGCGACGGGTGTTAAACGGAATCGGGGCCGCGAAAGTGGCCGCAATTCGCGCGAGCTGGATGGATTCTCGCGCGTACTATTTCGTATCATTTAGCGGGGTAGTGCGAGCTACTGCGAGTGTACCGCGGCGCAGTGAACCACTCGATGCACAATGGATTTCGCACTCTTTCATTTCGCAGCCGATTGCCCGAGTGTTTGTACGCGCATACACGTCATCGTCGTGCCGTAGGCGCCAGCGCTCACGGATTTGCGTGTGGGAAAATACAATGTTGGAGGAGAGTGAAACCCATCGCGTCAAATCGACGTCTTAGCGCCGTTTTTTCCCTCGCAAACACATTAAACCCAAAAATGCGGCACTACCTTAAAAATGTTAGTGCGAGAGTTTAAGAAACGGAGGAATCAGAATGGCGTTCGTTAAACACAGCCATTTGTGTTATTGTCGGTATTAAATATTGAAACTCGTAGCGATTATTTGTAATTGTAATGAGACCATTACTCCGTGACCCGTATTCCCTGGGGCAGACACGTTTGCAAGTAAAAGAGACTCGACCCCGGTCCTCATATCTCGGAGGATGCTGCGACGACGGCTTACTTTATTAACGGTCACGGCATTTATAAATGGTCCCATTTAGATTTACTCGGCCGCGTCGCGAATAAATGAAGCTGAGAAAACAGTATCCCGGAATTCATTAAGTTGTATGTAAATTATTCGAATTAATCCATCGCGACGAATATGATTAAAACGCTTCCTGAGCTTTAAAAATTCGGAGCTAAGTAAAAATTGGGACATTGTGAATTAAACCAGGAACTGATTCCTCCTATCGAACCGGTAGAATAAGTACGATCGGACAATGAAATCAACTGGAGGGAAGATGCAATCGGCGAAATAACAGAAACCAGTAATGGAACATATACTATATGTGGAGTAAAACTTACAGTCTCCCAGGGGGTAAGAAACGGGCAGTTGGGCTCGACCTTGGCCCCCGTGAATTGGATGAACTTCGTGATAAGCCGCCCTCGACTGTTCCTGATAACCGTTCTGCCCGTGATAGTTCTGAACCGCGTACGTTCCGGAGAAGATCCTCGTGTACCTCAGGTAGCATCCGCTCGGTATCTGCCACTGGAAATCGAATTAGGATACACGGATACCGTCTTGCCGTTCTCCAACTCGACCGAGGCAACGAAATCGCGTTCGCTCACCCCGTACGTTGTCGATGGTATCGGCTGCGGCGGCCTCCCGGGACACATCAGCATCCTTCTTCTGTAGTACTGCGGCTAAATTGCCGAAACAAATTTGAATGCCGATTTACAATCGGGATATCGTTTAACTAAGGATTCCCGACTGTTTTTTTCTATCATTCGGGGTGTAACAGTGGCCAGTCATCAAGGGCCTTATTCTACGATTTAAGGATGTATAGACTATATATTTAAACAATGCTAGCATGTTGAATTTGTTATTATAGATTCCTATTACTATTAAAAAGCTACCTGCAAAATTTTAAATCAATTCATGGGTTTTTTAAAAAATTATAGTGACTTAAAATTTGCATGTACNGGGTACCCCTTCAGATTTGGCAAAATTTTCGTTTTTCATCAATAACTCCTAAACCCTTGGAAATACGGGAAAATTGCATAAGACCTTTCTTGTAGAGGACGATGAGATCTACAATTCCTGTATAAAAGTTTCTCGCTAGCGTCAATAGTTTACGAGTAATTTGCAAAAAACTGTTTTTTCGTTTTTCGTCAATAACTCGTTAAATATTAATGCTAGCGACGAACTTTTATACAGAAATTGTAGATCTCGTCGTCCTCTACAAGAACGGTTCTATGCAATTTTCCTGTATCTCCACCAGTTTAGGAGTTATTGAGAGAAAACAAAATTTTTTTCCAAAAGTTCGCCGTTTCGACGCTGGAATGGTCGGATTTTGTCAACATCAATAAAATGCCAAATAATCATACTTAACTCATTAAATATCGAAATTAGAAGAAAAGTGCACTATTTTTAATTATAGGAAATGCGTTTTTCTAAGGTACATAAACTTTTGGGATTAACTGTATAGCCAATACATCCTTAAAATAGGACGAACATCAAAAGTGATTGAATTACGTTTGGCGTTTCGTTAACTACTTATTGGCGATTGAAAATCGTTTCGCTTGTCATATGACTGACAACTGACCACCGTCGATCGATATGTTGACGCAGGATTGGAAACCAGAGAATCTTCAAAAATCATAGTCTAAAGTGCAACCTGATTAAAATCCAGACAGGCATGGGTTTGGGATATTTTTTCAAGAGTGCATTTAGCGCGTTCTTTTCCATTGCGGCCATACGTTCCCGTTCGTTTCAATTAGGAAAGAGGAAGATATATGTATAGTAGAAGCTTTGTTGTATGAATTAATTGAGCGAGTTTCGATTTTATATTTTATATAAGTTCGCAATAACAAGGTTCGAACGGATCGATGAGGGAATGAATAACAATGACGAGGGCGTGCGGGTATGAGGCCGAATAATTGATCCGATGAAGCATAATCGAGATACGTGTACTATCTGATTAATTAGGCGCTAATTAGGCTAACTTATACACCACATTCAGTAAATAATACCCGTCGAACGCGTTACCGCAACTTCATCTCAATTATCAAAATCATCGCCAAGGGTTGAAGCCGTGCGACCATAATTATAACTTAAAGCCCGCAGATATAACTCAACCTAACGAGTTAACCACGGCCTCCTTTTCAGCTCACCTCGGAATCTCGTCGATGCTCCGATTCTGAAAATGTACGGTAAGCTAGATAAGTTCTGGATTAATCGTTTTCCACGAGCAATCGATGGTACCAGCGAGCAAATTCCTATTCGTACCGCAGGACGGAATCATAACTCTTCTTTTCCTTATCGCAGTCGCCCGTCGATTAGGCGGTCGTCCATCTACTCGAAACTTTTATGGAATCTCTATCGAATTCATTAAACCGGCGTAATTACCCCAAGTTAATTAAAAGGTCGCCCGATTGGTAGCTGGAACTTCCGACCATTGATTACACTACGGTTCCGTGACTTTTCACACCGAATCTAAAAAAAGCTGATTTCGTTTCACGTACAGCCAGACACAGGAATGTTCTTCTCGCCGTGCGATGTCCACATCCCAGTAATTACTCTCGAAATTATTCGGCGCGGCTCGATATCATCGATTGCTCGCTCGACGGTGCTCTCCAGGCACGGCCAATTCGTTCCTCCCTACTCTACTAACTCTCCCTACCTCGCGTAGCGACTCGCCAGTTCATAAAACGTGTATACTACTTAACGCATCCCCCATTTAAGCTCCTGCTGAAGGCTGTGTCACACGTACGCTACACAATTGACCGTGCCTGCGATACGCGTTACATACCTCGCACGTGTATTGAGAAATGGCACTCGGCTCGATTTCCGGCCGCGTCGGAAGCGATGTAGCGCACGTTGTGGATCCCGGGGTACATCAGTTGTCCAGGTTCCTGCGCGAGCCAATACAAGCCGGTTAACTTTCAATGCACCCTCTCTCTTTAACCCTCTGGACGCCGGTAAGGGTGCTGGTTTAATCGATATGAGTTAGCAATTTCCCGGGTTTATTAATTACATAGGAGGAAGCCTGCCAATTACGCCTGGCCAATTATCGCCCGTCCAATTCGTAGGTACGATATAGCATATATATCGTGGTGTCGCTTACGTGTGCTCGAGAACTGACCGACCTCGCTAATTACCATCGACTTCAAACTTCTTTCAACTGCTGCGGGATACGCCTGCATTGCTCGCGCGAAAAACCAGCCAAGAAGCGAGGAACTCGAAAAAAAGAACGAGAGGGCGGAGGAAAGTTAATTCTTCAGAAGCTTCGGCCTCTTTGCTCTTCTGGTCTCTCGATTATTTCCTATGTCCGAGACACGGCGAGGTAATTAATGGCGAGTGCCAGACGAAACCGGCAGATTGGTAACTTCGATCGTTAAGAGTGGAAGTTTTAATAAACCGAGAGAAGAACCGGGGGAAGAGAAACGAGATTCTTATCCCCTCTAGGCTGGGACCAGGAATCGGCAGTGAGAACGGTGTTTCCACGTGGAAATTACAGTGCCAGCGAAAAGTATTCGCACTCTGTTACAATGTGTCATCCGCTTGTGTCACATCATCGTAGTTCAGGACCAATGATTCTCAACTGCGTTGCTTTCCCCTATGGCGTTTAAATTCAAAAAGTGTATCATTGTTCCCCGAATAACGATGAGAAATGCTCTGTACGAATAAGAACGAAAAGAGGGACAAATCTCATGCAGCGAAGAGGTGGAGGTCGGGAACTGAGACAGCGCGGATTATCCGGGACTCGGGTACGATGATGTCGTTTGCTCACCCTCGTTTTGTAGACCCGTTCGACGGCGACATTGTCGGTGAACGTTGGCTCCTGCCAGAATATTAAGCGATTTCGCTCGCCAGGGCTTAGCCGCACTTCAAAGGACGTCGGGCACGTTGAAACTTTCGGGTTCTCCGTGTCTGCGGACAGTAATACGATCAACTGGCATGATAAACAAATTCCGACGTTTTAGTCAGAGGTCTCCCGGTCTTTCTAGCTGCAACAACAGACTATTGTGTATTTAATACGTTTTATATTAAGTACTTCTTTAATCTACTGTCTACTTTTTATTAATTTTCCATAAAAGTCCACTGTCGGCTCATTCGTTTCGGTACCAGCGAATCTGTACACGTAGACATTCAGTACGGTTTGCCAGGAAGCCCCCACCAGGTCCTGTCTTCTCTCACTATGTTGTTGTTTGTTTCCTCTTCTCCGGAGCATCGGCACACTGTGTCAATGTCTTGGAGGACCCCAAACTCGCTGGCAGTGGAGGAAGCTAGATACATTCTCCGGCGACTCGTTACCTTCGATCAGCAACGTTCGCCGCCTCTTTAATCGCCCTAATTAGTCCACCGGGAAAGTTTCACGTTCAGACCGAGGAAGAGGACTGTGAATCGAGCGATTAACAATCCGGGCGGCTGCCGTTGGATCAACAGCAGTTGCGTTTCGCGTAATTGCATATTGGCCCGGGCTCGAATCCGTCCAGCTCTGCTGTCCACCCGGCAAAGAAGCAAACCGGTCTAAACGGAGTTTCGCCAACTTTTGGAATGAGTAATTAACCGGGACGCGGCTAAGTGCACTCGGTTTTAGCGAACTTCGGTTTTACTCGGTTCAGAAACAGATCGAGAGATCTCGTTCCTCGGGAAAAAAAGTTCCTCCTTTTTATTACAGAGTCGATCGACGACGATCTATTCGTTTCCCGCTGTTTCTTGCTCCCACTTGATCAGCTACGTTCTTTCCTCGTTTACTCGTTCTTGCACCGTTCGACTGTGGATTGGAACCGCGGCTGTTCCACCAATGTTTGTTCGTTAATACCGTTCGATGAATGTTTTTGTTGTAGATAATTTGTGCAGTGGCCTATGTTAAAAGAAATCTTGTACCTCGCTTGGTAACAGACAAAGCCTGAATTTAACTGAACTAGGAATAGTGATTCTGGTATTCAAACATTACGGTGGAAATAAACCGAGCGAGCAGAAAATCGTTGCTTCTGCGGCACAATGCCGACCTTTGTGGCCGCCCTCATAATTTACGAGCGTCGCCCCGAGTAGGTACGAATTAAACGGGCGTTGCTCGCGTGAAAATGCGAGACGGCTTGCTTTTGATTCCGCACCCATTTGCTGCGTTGCTCTCTTTTCTACGAAATATTCTTAAAAATTATAAATAGTATCGAACAAATCCCTTGGGATTTTCTAGAAGATTCGAGCATCTGTCAAAATCCACTTTGCTTAGCATCCGGGGGAAAAATAGAATCTATCTCGGCGCATTCTCTTCTAGCTGGCGTTCCCCACGGGGCAAACACGGCTGTCACGTAAACGTAAACTCGATAAAACGGACCGTCGCGCGGGCTAAGCTTCGTACGAGCCGAGAGAGACATTCGAGAGGCTGACATTAATAATAGAGACGTTATATTGAACGATCGAGATGAAGAATTATGAGGCCACGTTTCGTGTAGCCATGGCGACTAGGCAGTGAAAAAATTGTACGAACAAAGGGATACGTGAGAAAAGCCTCACTGCGGGATGATATGTGATCGAACCATTTCTTTGTTTTCGCTTTGCACGCTATTATCCGCCGTTTAAACGGTCGTAAATCATGCGCCGAGATCAAATAATACCGACGGCACAACGTTTCTATTCGAAATATCTGCGGCCATTCATTTCACGCGTTACGCGATACTGGAATGCGATTAAAACGGCAATGTTCAACCGAGTCGGTCTGCTTTATGCAGGATCCGCACTATTCGTAACGGGACCAATCTGTAACGGACCCGTATCGGTTCTGTACCGTTTCCGCTGAGGAAAATCAGTTCCTTAATAATAAAATAATATACATATAATACAAATTGAAGCACTGATTCTTCTGGATTTCGATGTCTCAGCGACACACGGGGTCAATGCGGGTTCAATATGGATGAGATACTGGCCCAATACGGGTCCAATACGAATCGGCCCGATGTGGATAGTGCGGATTCAGCTGTAAACGTACTTTCTACGAGGGCACGGTGTATCGAACGATCTCGTCGCGTGTCCTCGGGCGAACGAACTCACCTCGTACGCGTATCACTATCCTGCACGTGCTGGTATAATTCGAAACGGGTGACCATGCTGTGAAGGTGACGACCGTCGTACCTGCGGGCAGGTCCGCGTGCAGTTGTTTCGCCCACGACGGTGTCGCGTCGACGTATCTGTAAAACGTATCTACCTGACCGGGACTGAACCAACGAAAAACGATCATAACATCAGAATAGAAGTTTCGTCAGCAGAGATTGCGATCGGTCTGTCAAAAGCAAACGATCGATCCGATTAGTCCGTGTCTGTATTTTTGACGTCGGCTTTGATTTTTCTACCGGTGATAAGCTGACACGGCGCGAGTCTCGAGCCAACAGAGTAAATAGAGACGCGAGCACAAATAGTAGTACGGGAAGACGTGTACATAGCTCGCCTTGGGGGAAGCCTCTAAGCTCGTTTGGAATTCCTATTGTGCCACCATGGAAGACTCGCGAGCAGACTCGACGCAAGATAAACCGTTCCATTGTGGCGACAGATTCCTGGGGTGAAAAATTAGCAAAAGCAAAAGCAAATTCGTCCCGTTCCCAATTGGGGTGAAATCTTAAAGGAGATCGCGAATGGTTTAAACATTCACGCCTTGACTTCTTCTTCTGATACTTTAACTACTACAAATGGGATTTACTGTCATTCAAAGCTATTATATATTTCAGCATCAGATTTGTCACAGAAAAAGTTACTAGTTATCGAAATACATAATTAGACCAAAGGGAGTCATTTCTTTTTCACAATTTCTGCTCACTAACTTAGTATTACATAGAAATCAAGATCGGAATAGCATGATGCCTCGATAAATACCTCCACCAGTTCATGTTGGACTTAGGCTGGGGGAAGGAAACTCGTATCGTGTTTTGCCTGGCGGGCAGCTCGACGTCCATGTCTCTGGGACACCTCACGAACGGTCGTGGCATGTCTGGAGCAACAAAGCCTGTTATTAAACATGCGGTTTTACATGAAACGTCCGCTAGGATCATACGCAGAGCCCAGAAGAGAGACGCGCGCCGGATATATCCGTTCTGTCACTCACAGGAGATTATCGCGTTCAACGTGTGAGAATATAATGAGTCTCTCGACTTCTCGGTAATCAAATTTATCGACCACGATAAACCGGTTGAGCTCCACCCTTCGAGGGCAGCTCGGCTTCTTACTTTATGGATTTAATTGTTTCATGCCAGTGGCACCCGTTCGTAAACAACACGATGATTTTCTGATTGCTTCGTCATGAAAATAAGCGCCATGATTAATTCTGTCCTGATTAATTCATATAATTAAACTCCTACTGTGTTATTAAATATTTGATTAAATATTAATTCTTTAGCAACTGTTCAGTCTAGAATTCCGTGGGTACTTGAAGAGTACAACGATGAGAATTGGCTAAGAGAAAAATTGCATGAAGGAAACGACCGAAGACACCAGAGCAGACGTGCAGCTAATGAAATAAAATAAAAAACCAGAACGCGTACCCTGTAAGCTCGTTAAGCACGGCGTTAACGTATAACGTCGTTAGCAGACACGGTAACGCGGCTTCCCGGCCTTCATGCCGGAACTTCCTATTATTAAAACCTGTTTAAAGCGGCCGCGTGACTAATTAAACGCGCCGGTTGGATTTTAGGAAGCTAAATAATCCCCGTTGGCAAAAACTTGTATCTCAATTCCATTACAGACATCCCCGAGTCCTGTACCTGTTATCGCCAAAATGAGACGCATAGAAGATTGTATGGCTGATAAAATTTTTTACCTTTTAATAGGAAAGGCCATTTATTATTATTTGATACTATCTTTTGTCATAAAATCATAACTTTTATAACAGCGGATTTTAGCGTTAGTTCACATGGGTTATGGTTGGGAGGATCGAGGAAATAGCTCACCTGAGTGGTAACGGGGATCGGTCACGATCGATTCTGGGATACAACTCGGTTCCTTCCCGCTCCATCGATCTCCGGCCATGCAGTACCTCGTGTGCGGTCCCTCCAGCTTGAAACCCCTTCGGCATCGTATATGACATCTCGCTCCGGCGGGATAATCCACTGCCCCGGAAGAATGACCCGGGCATCTTATCTGCACAATAACGGCCGTGACGAAAGGTACAATGCCTTCGTGCGAGCAGAAATTTTTAGAACGCCGCTTCGTCATCCGAAAGCGATGGAATTTATAAAACAGTATCGAGACGTCTAAGCTAAATTTACTTTTTTATTTTCTCTATTCTATTTTAATTACTATAAATAAATTACAAATGTTTCTCAAGCATTTATACACTCGTCAATTGAAAAGTTGAAATAAATTATTTATTTATTTATTTATTTAAATTGAATTGGAATTTTGACTCGGATTTAATAAGACCATTAAATTAATGTGAATTGGATTATCAAGGACAATGAACAGAGTAAATCGTTACGCACTTCAGCGTGCGGTGGTAGTTCCATAGCGTGGCACCTCGGTTCCGGTGGAACGCAAGTTCGCTCGTCGGAAGCCAACGCCAGCTCGCCGGCGCACGTACAGTAGTAACTTCCGGGTGTGTTAACGCATTCACCGTTGCAGCCTCCGTTACGGTTCAAGCACTCGTTTATATCTTGGCAATGGGTTCTGTTCCTAGAAACAAAGCCCGACCAACGAAATTTCTAAGATATTGCAGATAACGTATAGGCCATCAGAGAATGCAATTATGTCCAACATTATATGATTAACAGACTTATACTATTTGAATAATGTAAACGATTATAATAATCGTTATAAAACGAACGCTTAATAATATTGTAATTAAGTCTGAAAGAGTTGAAGAAATGATATCACATTATTCACTAACTTTTTTATAATCTTATCATAAGTATAAAATAACATTGGTTTGAATTCCTTAAGTAGCTTATTATGAGAGTAATTTAATTTAATCACTTGAAGGGATGAACTTAATTAGGTTCCTCACCTTTGACTCGAAATATAGCCAGACCGGCAGGCACATATGTAGGATCCGGCGGTATTAATGCAATCCTGCTCGCATCTGCCGTTGTTCCTTTCGCATTCATTTATATCTAATTACAGAAATGGAGGATGATACTGTCAGTCAACACAGGTCTATGAATCTATCTTAAATATATAAAGTGTCTGCATACTTTGTTATATACAGTGTCAAATCTTTGTTTCAGGGATTTATTTATTAGGCGTGTGAAAAAATATCAGAAAGGACGTTTTTCGTGGGAAACGAGTTTATCTTTTCGAGTACTTTTTTTTTACCAACCCACACAACTGCTGTCCCCGTCGAATCGATAGCCAGCCTCGCACTCGCACCGGTAGCTACCCTCGGTGTTGATGCACTTGTTCCCCTCGCAGGGCTTCCCGGCGCACTCGTCGATATCTGAAAACGATCAGCGGAGGAAAGATTACGGCTCCTCTGTTGCCCGTTCTCAACGAGCGCCGAGCAAGTCGTTGTTCGACCGGGGTAAGTATCGATGTTGCCGAGATAGTTTTCTTAAGAACCTCGCTAGACGACTATAACGGAGTAAATGTTCCGTGAATTTAGTGCCGAATCTAAACCTTATAAATGCATAATATCCGCGATCTACTAGCTTTATAAAGTTCGTTATATGTGCATTTTAAGGAATAATAAAATCGAAAAAACCGAGGAATTTACAGGTGTGATAAAAAGAATACTCAGCTCTGCCATAGGCTTTCAAATGCAAATATTGATGGTAGTCAGTTAAACAGCATTGGACGCAGATGTGTATCGTTGGCGTTGAATATTTTCGAACACTTCTCAACATTATTTTTTATTCTTTATATACGTAGGAAGTTTGTAAAGGCAACGATACATGGAGATTCCCAAGTGGTCAACCATTTAATTGTAAGCACCATTCGCGCCCAATGCTGTTTTACGCAATTTCTTATAGATCGATTCAGTTTTGAAATGCACGCAAATTCTCAACCATATTAGATTATTAAGACTATTAGTACTCACCGACACAAGTGGAATTCCGCATCTCATATCCATGCCTGCATGTGCATTCGTAGGATCCAACAGTATTTGCGCATAGTTGATCGCATCCGTGCTCGCCGGAGCATTCGTCAATATCCCTGCACCTCGAGCGATCGTTCTCGTCGTATCGGAAGCCGTGGTTACACGCGCACACAACGGAGCCGTTTCTTGCGTTACAAATATGCTCGCAACCTCCGTTCTGGTAAGAGCAAGGATCGACGAGGTGACAAGATTTATTCCTCAGCTCGTATCCCAGGGAACAGGAGCATCGATACGAGCCGTGTTCGTTGATACATTCGTGCGAGCATCCGCCGTTGTTATTTTCACACTCGTTAATATCGACGCAAGTCACTCGATCATCGTCCAATCGAAAACCTGTGGAACACTCGCAACGGAAGGTACCCTCCGTGTTTACGCAGCTATCGGAACAGCCTCCGTTCTCTGTCTCGCATTCGTCGATGTCCAAACAAGTCTTGGAGTCAGCAGCCAAGTGAAAACCAGGGAAACATCGGCAAGAGAAGCTGCCTTCTACATTTACGCAGACGTCCGAGCAGCCACCGTTCTCTACTGAACACTCGTCGACGTCGTTACACGTTTTCCCGGTATCGTCCAAACGCAGTCCCACGGGACAGCTGCATCTGACGCCACCGGCGATGTTGAAACACGCGTGAGAACAACCGCCGTTGCTTGTCTCGCACTCGTCTACGTCCACGCAACTCCTGGAATCGTTCCCCAGAACGTGCCCCGGGGGGCAACTACATTTCCACGAGCCAGGTGTGTTTAGGCATTCGTGGAAACAGTCAGCAATGCCTTTTTTACATTCGTCGACGTCGATACAAGTTTTCTCGTCTTCTGAAAGCTCGTAACCAGGAGGACAAGAACAGAAATGACCACCAATCGTGTTGGTACAATGATGCGAACAATCTCCATTGTTTTCTCGACACTCGTCGATGTCCAAACAAGTGGATTTGTCCGAATGCAGGTAGTGACCTTCGTAGCAAGTGCACACGTAGCTTCCTAGGAGGTTGAGGCAATCGTGGCTGCAATTGTGCTGACTGTTTAGACATTCGTTCACGTCGATGCAGTTCTTCTTGTCCTCAGGCATCAGAATGTATCCCGAGGGACATTCGCAGTAGTAGCCTCCTTCGGTGTTCACGCAGATATGAGAACAACCAAGTTCAACGTCGTTCTCAAACTCTTTGCACTCGTCGATGTCCTCGCAGGTCCTTTGGTCCTTTTTCAGGCTGAAGCCCAGGGGACAGGAACAATAGGTTTTCTCGACGCCCTCCTCGTGATGGCAACGATGGGAGCAGTTGCCGTTGTTCTGCTTGCAACCGTCTATCAGGTTACAAGTCCTGTTGTCGTTCACCAAAACGTATCCTGACGGGCAGCTGCAGCGGAAGGATCCTACCATATTCAAACACGTGTGCGAACAACCTCCGTTCGCATTTTCGCATTCGTCTACATCATCGCAATAAGATGGCTCATCGTGATTCACCGTGAAACCTTCATTACAGCTACACTCATATCCACCCACTGTGTTAATGCACTTGTGCGTACAGTCGTCTAGTAATTCTACACACTCGTCGACGTCGATACAAGTAGCGTTGTCCTTCAGCTTAAATCCTGATGGACATTCGCAAACAATGGTCCCGTTAGAGAAGGAACAGATGTCCGAACAGCCGCCGTTGTTAACGAAACACTTGTTCTCGTAGACGCATTGTCTGTCGTCTGAGAGGATCATACCACTTGGACAGTGGCACGAGGCTTCTCCATTCTTATAATGGCAATCATGAGAACAACCCCCGTTGTCTAGGAAACAGGGATTCGTCTCGATGCAAGTTGTGCCATTTTTCGACAGTACCATTTCTGGTGGACAGGAACAGATCACTTTTCCATCCGCATAACTGCAAAAATGAGAACAACCGCCGTTGTTGGTGTAACACTTGTTTTCCTCGGTACAAGTGGCATCGTCGTCTTCTAGGATCATCCCTGGCGGGCAAAAGCAGGAGACGGTACCATTTTGGTAATGACACAGATGCGAGCATCCGCCGTTGTCGATTAAGCAATCGTCGATCTCGACGCAGGTCTTTCCATCATCCTCGAGAAGCTTGTAATTATCAGGACAAGCACACTCGACGCTACCGTCGATATTTGCGCAGAGATGTGAACAGCCGCCGTTGTTCTCCATGCACTCGTTCACGTCCTCACAGGTCCTTTTGTCCCCTGCTAGCTGGTATCCTTTCGGACAGCTGCATTCGTAGCTGCCTTCGGTATTCACGCAGGAATGGGAACAACCGTTGGTTAATTCCTCGCACTCGTTCTTGTCCAAGCAATTCCTATTATCATTGGCTAAGACGTAACCGGGTGGACAACTGCAATGATGACCATCCGAGCTGTTGACGCACTCGTGGGAGCAACCGGTGCAGAGTTCAATCTCCTCACACGTGATTCCGTCTGCGGCTAATTTCCACCCCGCGGGACAATTGCATACGTAGCCACCAGCGACGTTCACACAGGCATGACTGCAGTTGTGTGAACCTCCGCAAGGCTCCATGCATGTTTTATTGTCCCGGCTAAGGATTAAGTCCTCCGGGCAGGAGCAAACGTGGAAACCGTTGAAATTATCGCAACGATGCGAGCATTCGTGAAGGCCTACTGCGCATTCGTCTATATCCCGGCAAGTTCTCCGATCTCCAGTTAACTCGTATCCCTTCGGACAGGAACATTCAAAGCTGCCCTCGGTGTTCTTACAATCGTGAGAACAATCGTTACCATGGATACATTCGTCGATGTCTTGGCAGGTCTTCGAATCTTCCCGTAGCTGAAAACCTGTGGGACACTCGCAGCGATAAGACCCTTTGGTGTTCACGCAACCGTGGCTGCACGAGTGGATCTCCTTCTCGATGCACTCGTCCACGTCGCCGCAAGTGCTCTCATCCTCCCCCAGCTGGAATCCTTCGGGACAACCGCAACGAGTCTCGTTTCCGTCTTGTTCGTAGGTATGCGAGCAATTCCGATCCAGAGACGTTCGACATGTCCGCGAGTCTCCTTGCAATTCCCAACCCGGCGGACAGGTGCAATCATACCAGCCGGGAGTGTTCACGCATTCGTGGGAGCAATTGTGTGACGTTTGGCACTCGTCGATGTCCTCACAAGCGCGTTTATCTTCGGCAAAGGCGTAACCATCTGGACACAAACATTTGTACGTTCCATTGAGGTTCCTACAGCCTTGCGAACAGTCGTTAGTCCCATCTGCACATTCGTCGATATCTATACAACTTTTATTATCTTCAGCAAGCCTAAACCCTTTCGGGCACTCGCAAATATAAGATCCTTCGTTATTTATACAGTGGAGACTGCAATTGTTGGACTTTTCTAGGCATTCGTCGATGTCCTCGCAGGTTGTCCCATTTTTATTGAGTCTGAAGCCTTCCGGGCAGCCGCATTTATAATTCCTGCCATCAGGCACGCAGGAGTGAGAGCAGGGCGCGTTTCTGCAGGACTCGGTGACGATACACGTGACGCCGTCGTCGGATAACGATAATCCTTGAGGACACGAGCACCGATAGGAACCATAATCATTGATACAAACGTGAGAACACTCGTGTTCCTCTTCTAGGCACTCGTCGATATCCTCGCAATGGCCATTCCCATCCTGACGTAGTCCTTCGGTACACGCGAGATCCTCGCAAGTGAATCCATCCTTCAGGAGGTTCAAACCTTCCGGACAAACGCATTTATAGCTTCCAGGCGTGTTTACGCAGTCGTGGGAGCAATCGTGCTCGTCTTCGAGGCACTCGTCAAAGTCTTTACAAGACGTTCCATCGTCCCGCAAGATGAAACCGACAGGACAAGTGCATTTAAATGTATCTCCATCCCTTTCACAGATATGGGAGCAATTAGCGAAGCTGCATACGTCAACTGGGATACATAGTCTTTTGTCATCAGCTACAGTCATACCAAAAGGACACGCGCACTCGTAGGAGCCTTGAACGTTCACACACTCGTGAGAGCATTCATGCGTCCCTTCTAGACACTCGTTTATGTCCTGACACGTCTTCCTGTCGTTTTCCAGTAGAAAACCTGCAGGGCAACCGCAAGTGAACCCGCCAGCTTCGTTCGTACACTCATGGGAGCATCCGTGTTTATCCTCGACGCATTCGTTAATGTCTTCGCAACTGAAACCATCGGAGGAAGGCTTGTATCCGTCGTAGCACAAGCATTCGTAGTTTCCGGGAGTATTAACGCAATCTTGTTCACATTTGTGGTCACCGTTCAAGCACTCGTTCACATCCGCGCACGTCTTTCCGTCAGAGTTCAACGCGAATCCTGAATGGCAGTCACAGGAGTAGCTACCGTGGATATTAAGGCACTTGTGATCACAGCTGTGAATATCTTTGGCACACTCGTCTACGTCGGTACAATTGAACTTGTCGATTTCCAAGATTTCTAAGCCGTCAGGGCAGATGCACGAGAAGCTGCCTTCCAGATTTGTACAGGAATGAGAACAGAGGTCCAGAGTGCACTCGTCGATGTCCACGCAACTTGTGCCGTCCTCGTGGACTTGATATCCGGTTGGACAAATGCAAATAGGGCCGTCCTCAGAGTCCTGACACTCGTGGGAGCAAGGAATCGTCAGGGTTTCGCAAGTTTTTGCTTGGACACAAGTGACGTTGTCATCCTTCAACGAGTATCCTAGAGGACAGGTGCAGGTGAAGGAACCTATCGCGTTGGTACAAATGTGGGAACAGGGTGTTGGGCTTCTTTGGCACTCGTCCGTATCCTCGCAGGACACGCCGTCATTGCGAAGCTCGAAGCCCGGGTGGCAAACGCAGTAATAACCACCGGGCTCGTTCACGCATTTGTGGTGACAGCCGTGAGGCTCGCCCTCATCCCCGTCCACGCATTCGTCTATGTCTGTGGAACGTCGAGAGAACAGAAATGTTAGACTGGTAAAAAGGATTCAAGGATATTTATTACATTCTTCATTTTATTTCTACATCTGATTATGGAAGTCTATCTGGGATTTTGTAAATTATCATAAAAAAATGTTAGATTCTACTGACCGACACACTCGTCGTTTTTATTCTTCCTGAACCCGTCCTCGCATTTACCGAACTCTGGAATTTCTGTGACAGTCTCTTCTTCGTCATCGTAATCCTCCTCGTCGTCATCGTCCTCCGCGTCGTAATCCTCGTCCTGAAGGACCTTAGTCATTTTCTTAGGCTTGCCCACGCATTTGAACGAACCGATCGTGTTTTCGCAATCGGTATTGTTTCCACAAATCTTGGAGGCATTCTCGCACTCGTTCACGTCTAATACGAGAACAAAATACAAAAGCTGCTTACACCAGGCATGGACAAGAGGCTTGAGTGGTAGCATAAGTGGGGATGCTGTTAAGTAGCATGGAGTGTTACAGTTACCGCGATTACTCGCGAGGAAGGGAAAGCTACTAGAGTAGACAGAAATGAGTTCCCTTACGAGTTGTAACCGCATACTTTACGAAACTTGACCTCGTATCTTCCAAAACGTAACCCCGTACAATATAATTATACAATAGAACGTAACCCCGTATAATATAATTATACAATAGAACGTTTAGATACGCCCTGGTCGTCTTCTATTTACTCGACGACTTAAAGGATTAATAGAAATCGAGGGTACGATTTACCTTGGCAGGTTTTCCAGTCCCCGGTCAGATAAAAGCCATCCGGGCAAAGACAGAAGGCACTGCCAGGCGTGTTCAAGCAAACGTGAGAGCATCCACCGTTGTCGGTGATGCACTCGTCGATGTCTTCGCAGGTATGATTGTCCGCGGCCAATCTGTGACCGGGAATATCCCCGCAGCTGCACTCGTAGCTGCCTTCAAGGTTCGTACATGTGCCTTGGCACGGCCCGTGACCGTTGTTCACCAGGCACTCGTTAACGTCTGCACGAGGACACAATCAGAGGGGCTTGTGAATAGACGCAAATATTTTACTGTTTTATCAAAATTTTTATTGCACTCACCATGGCACGATTTTTTATCGGTTCCGAGTTGATATCCAGGTCGGCACTCGCAACGAAAGGAGCCAGGCTCGTTGTGACAAATTCCCGCGCAGCCAGCCAAACCTTCAGTACATTCATCTATGTCTGAAAAAAAAAAAAAATATAGAATCCAATGCGAAAACAATTAAATGTTATTTACAACGCAAATATATTCGCATTGGAATTTACGTTTCGTCCTTTTTTTCACTATAAACGCAGTTTTTTCAAATGCTCCGTCGTTTTATATTACGCTTGTTGTGAAACGTTGATCAATTTTATTCGTATAAAAGTCGTTCAAAAAAAAAGTGGAATAAAAAAAGTGATTTAATGCGACACGCAAAATAAATTACCTGTGCAAGAAGAGTCTATTAAACGGTATCCATCGACGCAAGAGCACTTCACCCCTGTTTCGATGTCCTCGCAGATTTGTTCACAACCACCACGATTCTGGTTACAACGTTTCATTTTAGTGAGTTCCACATCTGAAAGATAAGCCGATTTTCGAGCTGCATAAAGTTTCACTGCTGACACAATACTCCTTTTGCAAATGCATATTTTAATTCATTGTTAAATGAAACAACGATTTATCTTACAATTCCATTGCAAGGATTCATTGTTAAAAGAACCAAATGTTATTTTAATCTACTAACTAAAATCCGTTCGGAAATCGCTCGGGAATTTCAGTATCGAACGATTTTAAAACGTACCGAGAAATAACGTTATCGTCAATCTCCCGGATAAACGTTTTTACAACTAACGGTTCTTATTCGTTCGCCCTTACCTCCGGGCTTGATGCAACGCGGAAGTGCGCCTAACCAAGTGCCGTCGCTGCAGAAAAGTCGATCAGCCATCGAGTCCTCGAAAATGTGTCCCTCGGTACACTCGTAAACCGCAACGAGGTACCGATTGTACGGCGGCAATACGTTCGTCCGCCTGGAAAAATGGTGCGCATGGAAGAATATATTTAAGGAATCTTAAATCGATATCGAGAAACCATCACATAGAAATAGTTTATAACTAGACTACAGGCAACGAATTAAAATTGCAGCCTGAGTAACGCGTTGATAAACCAGCGAGCTCTACTTTGTTGGAGGACGAGGTACGAACCTGGCGTACTTCGGCGGATGCGCGTTTTCAACCAAAGGGGCTTTCGCAAATCCTTTTCTGCGCGGTTTCATAAAGCAGCTCACATCCAGCCTCGACATTATTGTTTCATTGAGCGCGGCTCGTTGCGACCCCAACGACGACGGTTCGGCCATCGTCTTTCCGCCGACTTTCTTCGCCCGCTGCTTCCTCCTCTCCTTCGCTTTTCTACGCTTCTTCAGCTCGCCGATCCTCTTTCGCGCCCTCATCCTGTCCCTCGCCGCCTTCTGCTCGGACGGTGTCGTTGAAATTGGATCATCGCCGAGATAAAGCTCGTTGCGAATGTGTCGGAATCTGTTGTCTGGAAAAAGAGTACACGCGATGAGAACTGGGTCAACGAGGAGCGGGTAATTCTTCGGGTAATCCTCCCAGCAATTTAACACCGTTCGCCGTACGTCTCTGTCGTTCTCTGTTTTCCCCATTTCAAATGCCCCTTCATTTATCTTCGTTTTTTACGAGCAAGTAAATGGGATTATATGTATAATATTTAAAAGTTGCCCAACTATTCAGGTATAGAAACGCAGTTCTACTTTACTGAAGGAGGATTTTGAGTTTACTAAAGGAGTTCAGGTTTACTAAAAGCAATCTATGGTTCAGTTTACTAAAGGGAACTGCGCATATATTTGAGATTATTCACCCCATACCCCATTTTTCATCGTCCTGATCGATCATTGGGCTCCAATGTCGTTCATCGACTCGTTAGTTCAGCCGCGGTAATCGATACCCCTCTCGCCTAATGAAAATCGTCTATCGATTCGTGACCGCAGGATTTCGAAAGTTCGCCCCAAATACAATCTCCTTGTTAGCATACAGTTCCCGCTCCGGGAACTATTTGTCGTTATCGATTAATCGAGGCGAGGCATCTTGCGGCTCGAAGTTCCATGCTTCAAATTATCATTTAAACGCGCTAGAGTGTTGCGATATTAGAATTGGTCAACGGATCAAACAATTCCTGCGTTTATATGCAATTTCATTTACAGAGATTAATTTAAGGGAATGATGAAATCATCGGATGAACGGAATTCAGCAAAGGACGATGTCAATTTCGCCTCACCTTTCAATTATTTATTATAATTCTGACAGACAATTTCTGTAGGACAGAAATGATAAAATCAATTGATCCTGCGCCTGGAATCTCGTATTTACTTTAAGTTCATGTATATCCTCTCCGCTTATCCTTGTACATCCTTTCTACTCCTGTGCACTCTTCTAATGATATTGCACAGTAGTCGGCGCGTACCTATCCAGATGCACGGACTTATCTCAACTGCGGTGAATTCGAAGTACGCTGAATTTCGAGCCCCTGCAGCACGTCGAATCGAACAAGAGTCGAACGCGTCCAAGAGGGCACGTTCCTTAACCGCTACTCGACAAATTTTCGAACCACTCCAGGAACGTTCCGGAATTCGCCGGCAGACAAACCCGGTGGCCAAACCACCGCACCGCGCCGAATCGATCGCGAATTGACAGCACCTTTCAACAATTCCCTACTCGACCTTTCACCGATCCAAAGCCAACAAACACTGATTGGATACCATTTTTTATCTGCACGACGTCGTTAATTTTTATTGTTAATAAAACTACCTCAGGTCCCTTGAATGGATGTAATCAAAGAAGGAGAAGAAGGAATCTCCGGTTTAATACACAAGAGGAGAGTATTAGAGGAAAGAGAAATGAGTTAACCATGCTCTGATCTAGAGTAAATTTAAAACTAAAGCATCGTATGGATGTGTGCTGGCTCGATTATCTTATACAAAATTCATTTTACGGTTGAAACATTTTGCCCAAGGGAGATAAAGTCCCGTGTCTGCGCCTGAACTTCTAATCTCCCAGAGTTACATACACTTTTAACGGTTTCTTTTAAATGAACATGGGATGATGAGACGGGGCGAAATTACATGATCTCCCTGCATGGGTCAGATTTATCAAAAGACAAGCCTGAGCCAATTTCCACTTTGCAAAAGTATAAGTGGTGGATCGAAATGAATTACAATTTATTATCAGCTCACTTCACCCATTCTTCGCAATAATAACCGTTTCCTACTTAATGCTTTTAACGAACATCGGTTCAGCTATTTAACCCACTGTTCAGATAATCCGATACAGTTTGTCCGATACGCTTGTACGCCTACGTTCCCATTTCACTGATTAGTCCCGTTCGTTAACTGACCCGACGAATCCAAAGTAAAAGACAAGAAATAAATTCGAATTAAAAGAGAATGCTGGAGGTCGAAGGGCTTCGACAGTCTTTCCATCCGGGTAAATCGAATGAAATCGCTTAAAGATTGAACGCGAAAGATCTATTATATGTTATCATCTCGCATGGTGAAAAGCAACCGGGAGCCTTCGTCGACGTTCAGCTGGAATTCAATGTTGAAGAAGCAGCAGAGACGCGCCGCTGTCTTACGCCCGGGCCAACAACGCAGTCATTAAGTTGTTCCTGGCAGTTGCACTACCTAGCAACCGGGGAGGATAATTCATGTCGCGAATGAACAGACGCTATTAGTGCCGCACCGAAAGAAACTATCTCCGTCGCTCCCTGAATTGCTTGAATTTAATCAGATCCATCAAATTAATTAACAATTGTAATTCAAATTTTCCACAGCGTTTCATTTATCTAACATTTAATAACAAAGAATTAATTAAGAATTGTGGTTAAAGAAAATGTAATTCAAATCCTCTAAGATCTTCCATAACGTTTTATGAAAATTAATTTGATTAAATCATTTGATAACAATCTAATGCTTTTTCAATGTTTTTATTGAAGGGTTAAAGAACGACGTTCTTACACAGTGACTAGCAAGGAACTGACGACTATTTAGATACACGTAACTTTCGCATCGGTTCTTTGGTACGGAGTGGCCACTCATCGAAGCAGACTCCTTAAAGAAGGTCGAGAGGTCACGGTACTCCACTCGAGCCCGAGTCGAGCAGCACATAATGCATACATATATACATAAGTGTACACGGAGAAATCCCTAGACGGCGGTCGGCCATCAAAGAAGTCGAGATATCACGACGTACATATATATATATGTATTTATATATATGTATATATGTATATACCCTGGCTTGTACCTTTTTCGTTTGTCAACGTGACCGCGGATCTGTCACGAGAGCAGACGTGCGTCTTATCTCTCGCGGAGGAGGCAGCCGCCCCCATTCGCTCCGCTCGTAAAATTCTTGCGAAGTTCAAACTTGCGTGGAGAAATTGTTTTCACGCATCAGGAACCTCGAATCGTTTACGCTACCACGTTCTAGTATCAGTTTTTCAATTAATTTTAATACAGAACCTATGTTGTATACATTTCAACCATTTCGTTAAATACTATCATCGTGCCTCGACTTGGTAAATGGACTTTCATCGCCCGTTCATTAAACTGTTGATTCCGTTCCACCAAATAAACCCAAGAACCAAGGAACTGACGACTATTTAGATACACGTAACTTTCGCATCGGTTCTTTGGTACGGAGTGGCCACTCATCGAAGCAGACTCCTTAAAGAAGGTCGAGAGGTCACGGTACTCCACTCGAGCCCGAGTCGAGCAGCACATAATGCATACATATATACATAAGTGTACACGGAGAAATCCCTAGACGGCGGTCGGCCATCAAAGAAGTCGAGATATCACGACGTACATATATATATATGTATTTATATATATGTATATATGTATATACCCTGGCTTGTACCTTTTTCGTTTGTCAACGTGACCGCGGATCTGTCACGAGAGCAGACGTGCGTCTTATCTCTCGCGGAGGAGGCAGCCGCCCCCATTCGCTCCGCTCGTAAAATTCTTGCGAAGTTCAAACTTGCGTGGAGAAATTGTTTTCACGCATCAGGAACCTCGAATCGTTTACGCTACCACGTTCTAGTATCAGTTTTTCAATTAATTTTAATACAGAACCTATGTTGTATACATTTCAACCATTTCGTTAAATACTATCATCGTGCCTCGACTTGGTAAATGGACTTTCATCGCCCGTTCATTAAACTGTTGATTCCGTTCCACCAAATAAACCCAAGAACAAATCGAGTAATCCCGACAAATCTCTTAAACGATGCTCTCGAGGAGGAACGGAAGAAGAAACGGAGAAAGAAGGAGCGAGCGGAAGTGGAAGTTGGGGTGTCGGCTCCTAGCAAACGTCTTTGCAAGAAAGAGGATGAAATGAATGGTACGGGGGTTTTCGGTATGGAACGATGACGAATAGCTTTTTCGCAGCGCGACGCGACGACATCCCGCGGGCCGCTGGATCTGAAAACCGTTTCCTTCGGAAGGTGGACGGGATCGAAAGCAACGGGATTCTCGGTTTGATTTATTACCGTTGCGCGTTGCATTCGACCTGGCAACGTCTTTCTTTTCGCCTGGACTACGTCGCCCCCGAGGACACGCACGTGGATTCCTACTGTCACTCGAAATAGTGGATTTCGAGGTTTATAGATATTTCGGGGTGGTCGTTCGTTATCCTTCGTGCGTGACTCGCTGTGCCCGTTGTGTCGCCTGTGCTCTGTTGACTTTGGCGAACGGAAGCAGCAGATGCTGGATTTCCGATTTTTCGAATACATTTTCGGTGTCTTATGGCACCTAGCCATGTGCCATGTGTATCGTTGCGAAATGTCAATCTCTGGACACTTCAGTGACGATTGGACATTCAGTCTTTGGACATTATCCTAACCAGAGAATCATAGTCTCTGTAGCGAGTAAATAAAATTATTAATAGGAAAGTGGAAAAATCCAATTGTCTAAAACGCTGAACCAATTTTGAAAACTTCGATTCGAAACTGTGTTGGAATAATTTTTTCGTTTTCTATGACGCTGAGTGAAATTTGGGAACGATGCTCGAAAATCGAAATCCATAAAACTGAAGTACACTCCCGTACCGCTGGATGGGATAGACGTAGACAAAAAACTGTTGAACCGGGAGACCGTTACCGAAAAATAACGAGCGCGCGCGTTCGATGCAAGCGCGTACGTAGGTGCATCTGATAGTAAAGAGACGAGTGCGCGCTTTTTCTAGCGCGACGTGAAACCGTTTCGCTTCTTTCGCGGCCATCGGTAATCGATAACAATGTAAAAGAAAAAGAGAATAACCGAAACGACACGTGAAAATCGCGAAACCAGCCGTGATAAATAGAATATGCGAAAGGAAGTGAAATCAAAGAGGTCTCGTTTTGATAAACCAGATGCCGGATGAACGAAACTATTTCAAACGGCCGGCTGCTAAATTTTACGACAAAGAACCCTATTTCTGATTTTCACGAACTGAACGCCAGTTCGTAAAAACAGGGAAATAATCATTCATCGTCATACGCTTCAATTATAATTCTAAGTATGATTTTCCCTTGTAAAATAATTGTAGGGCTTGTAAACAAATGTAGATAATTACAACTGGCATAAAATCCTATCAAAGAGTGCCAAAACCCTTGTATTAGAAACGTTTGTGCTCAGTTACACACTTTTATGAAAAGTTAATGTTGGTCAATGAACCGCGTTTGTTTAAAAGATGAAAGAAACTATGTAATAAAGGGGTTCCCGGTTATTATGTTCTGCTCCCTCGTTACTCTCTTTAATTCTTTGATAGCCGAACGGTATTCCACGAGCTTCCATTGTTTACCAATAAATCTTTGAACCACACATTTTGACGAGCTGTTACATACTGCAATGAGAACGAGTTTTACTCAACTCTTTACGCTATTTCCCTTTCGTAATTCCGTCGCATTTAACGGGAAATTAAATTTTTCAGCGAATTTTGCGGTACGATTGAGTTTGCGAATGCAGACAACCGTGGCGTAATCGCGTTAACTGTAAATAATAAAAATGATTCGATAGAGAAACTCCGACAGGATTTTCGTTTTATTTTTTCCTTTTTTTTTCCACGGTGGATTACAGGCCCGTGCATGCGGCGCAAATTGCAGAGTTAAACGACAATAAAATAGTACGTGAAAACGTGTCCGCGCTTACTATGTACCCAGCGCGCGCACGGTTGAAAAATTATGCGGCTCTCTGGGAATCGGGAAGGTTCGACGGTGAAAAATATGTTTCGTTAAATACGAGTTCGCCGAACGTATTCGTCACCATCGTTTCTTCGGACTCGATTCGTTTGTCCGCGGTAATAAAGGCTTGATCGATTGACCCGTGATTCGATTGACCGCCGCGTCAATCCTCGCCAATTATAACCCCGTCACGATCAAAGCAACGAAACGAGAACTTCGTACTATCGAGAAGATTTATTTAAAAATTAGACTGCCAATTTAATGCGGAATAAAAACAACATGGATATTTAACCCTTTGAACTCGTACGTCATCGAAACAAACCGAGTGCAAAGTGTTAAACGTTAGCTGACTGGTTTTGCATACCTGTAACTCATACTGCTTTGCATACTGTAAGCTTGTTGTTCTGTAAATCCTCTGAGTGATCATCCTCGTTTAAAATAAAAGAGAAGAGTTTGGAAAACGAGCTGTAGGACTTACCTAGAGGTATACATTTGGGGACTGGATGATTCCAACCGTTGGTGGTGCAAGTGAGTACTTTATGACCCTTCAGTCTACGACCAGGTTCACACGAGTACACGGTCTGTAGAGTGCCATCCTTAAGGACTCGTTCCCTCACCGTTCCCCATTGCGGTGGCTGCACCAAAGAACAATCGCCAACAGCTCCTAAAACGATCGAACCGTCAGATGTTTGAGCATGCAGATCCCCCAGACAGTAAAATCGTTATATTCTGGAGATTATGGTACTAGAAATTCTGTTAGCCTTTCAAGAGGACTGTTTAAAAAAAAAGTGGAAATTTCTTGGCGGGACATTAAACGCCGCAAATTGCTAATAAATTATAGGGCAACCGCAGACGCTCGAGAAGTTTCTCCTTCTCAGGGGAGAGATTTTACGCTAACAGAGCGTAATAGGTACACCGTGTAATTAAGCAGGCAGAAAATTTTTGTTTCTAGAAATATAATATCTCTCGTTAAGGGGAGTTTCGCAAAATTCGTAAACCGTACAAAATTCGCTTCGTATAATTAAAATACATAATTAGTGCAACGGTTCACTGGATTCAATTCATTTTATATTCATATTACCTCTAACATGACGTGAGAATGTATGTGTTGAATGTGTTAAAAATAGAATTTCTTCTATTAGATACATTCTTCATAAGACGAGTTCTGACGGTAATCGTAATTTGTTAATCGTACAACTTTTCGGACTAACATCGTGGAGGAATGTTGCCGGCAGAACAAACGATCGCGAATCTTTCGTGGTAGCAATCTCCGCGAACCTGGGTTCCATTTACTTAATGCAGCCTGCCCGTAGCGACTCTCTAATTAATGTCACCCGCGATCTCTCTTCCAAAAGGCGTGTTGCCCCGGCTTTATATCAGATCCCGCGGAATGCGACGCCCCGTCTTTTACCGCTGCAACGATAAGCGCTAAACCTCCCGTCGTATTATTCATTCTACTTGAGACGATTTCAGGAAAGAATGTATCGTTTTCAGATATTTACATCATTACTCGTTACGAATATTACGAGAAATATTAGGAATATAGAAATATTATCATTGATTTGACTATAGGTTTCAATTTTAGGGCAGAATTTATCGTTTTCAAATTTTCAGATCTGTTACGAATATTACGAGAAATGTTAGGAGTGCAGAAATATTATTATTAAACTGATTAAAGGTTTAAATTTTAGGGGAGAATGTATCGTTTTCAGACTCGAATATTAGGAATCTAGAAACATTATCATTGACCTGATTACATGTTTAAATTTTAGGGAAGAATGTAGCGTTTTCAGATTCGAATATCAAAAGTCTAGAAACATTATCATCGACCTGGCTAAACGTTTAAAGTTTAGAGAAGAATGTATCGTTTTCAGTCTCGAATATTAAGAGTCTAGAAAAATTATCATTGATTAGATGTTTAAATTTTAGGGAAGAATGTATTGTTTTCAGACTCGAATATTATGAGTATAGAAGCATTATTGTTGACCTGGCTGACGGTTTAGCCAGGTCCCTTCAGAGTTAGACCCTAGGACTTTTGAATAGATCCCATTCGCAAATTCTCATGTGCTGGCTTGTCAACTATGCGGGAACATCATTAATCACAAACTCGAATTAGCACGTTCAACTTGACACAATGAATGTAACATCTTGTTTAACGTACTATTAATTACAGCGTAGCCAAAGTCTGCGTCAAACTTCTAGGCATTAGCATTAACAAGTCCAAGGGCTCCATGAAAACAAAGTTTGGAAATGAATGACGAACGGTTCTAGGAAGCACCTACGGTTATATAACCGAACCCAATCAATGGCTATGTGTCCGGAGATTAACTATGAGTAATGCAAACAACGTTTTTCGTAAAATCAGCTATGTTCGTCGTATCCGGGTGTATCGTTTGAACGCTAAGCGTATCGATCTAATCCCCGGGTTCGTACTGCATTTATGCCTCTACATCGTTTATGCGCATCCATCTACCTTTTTCCACGGCGAATTACTTTGAGATGGAAAACGGAATTTCGAAGGAATTCGCGAGATTTGCATGCAAATAGTAATGCAAAAGCGAGAGGCACAGTCTCGGGCGTTAAGGGAATATTGCCAACTGATCTTGGGAAATATTGAAATTCGTTGGAGAGGAGGGATGATTTTTCGGTAGGTCGATATTGGACGTCGTATCGGTCGTTCCTACCAGCCGATTTCGTCGACAAAGCGAAAGTGTTTGACTAGCCGGTTTTCTGATTGGAACTTCCGAGTACTTTAAAACAACGAACGTTTGCCTCTCAGGTCAAATTCGTGTCCCAATGCTTCCTCGAATGAATTTATCTTCTAAATTACATTTTGTCGCTTGATCAAATATGTTCGCATTTTATTATTCAACTGTCAACAAATAATTGAACATTTTTCATAGAAGAGCTAGCCAAATTAATAGCCCAACATTTGTAGACAAAACGTTCTCTATCCATGTCGAAACGGTAATAACGCAAGCATCTGTGTTAAAAATCATCCTGTTTTCGTCAAAGTTTTCTAAATATTAAAATCGATACTCGTTCCACGGATATTATTAATCCTGATAAAAGCAACGCGCGCAACAAATCGCATAGACTGCATTTAGACATTCGCGAGAGCAATATAAAAAAAAAAAGGACGAAACGGTGGCAACATAGAAAGAGGAGAAACGTAACGACCGGCTGTTTTATTGTCCACGGTCAGTAACAAACGTTAAAGAGTGCGTGGCGTGTATTAACCATCCGCGCGGGCAAAAGAGGAAGGCTAACGAGCCGTGCGAGCGGTGGCGCACGTTCTGCCCATTGTTGTCTGGCAAATCGACGTCCGAATCAATTCTAATATTTCTTGCGAATCGATTGTTATCGGCACGGGTGCGACGCGATGGGCTATGCGCCGCGGCGTGTCGTTCGCCTCGCTCGGTGCCAATAATAGATCCACGCGATAATGAACCGGAAAACCGTTCCGCGATGCGGCCGCTCGGTAATTCGCCGATTCCTCCCATTGGCGAACGCTTCGAAACGGTAATATATTCGGCAAAGGCGTTGCCAGGCTCCTCGTTCATACATAGCCTTTCGTTCTGGTTCGTTCCACGTTTTTTTTCATCTCATTGAGAATTCTTAATTTTTAAATTGGTCTCTTTGTGAATTATAAATAGGCAGCGGATTTTATACTTATAGAAAAATAGAACGAGCAGAAGATATAAAAAATTCATTCAATATCCAAGGAAACGGAAGTAAAACGAATATTAAGATTTTGAGATTACAAGAAATCTCTGTTTAGATCTGATTTTCTACATTTACATTAAAATTGATTTATTTCGAGTAGAGATTCGAATTCGTAATTATAACTAAAGAACTTCGTTTGTCGTTTAATACTTTATCGTTTCGTTGGGAAGTAAATTCGCGCATCGGTGGCGTGGTAACAGCATCTTTGCGGCGAATCTGAAACGTCGGCGACGGTAGCTGGAGATCGAAAAACGGCCAGAAGTATTTGCATACGGTGGAAAATTCGAAAGAAGCTCGGGGAATTTCGCCGGGTCGTGTCGCCCGCGAAACGGTTTAAAGTTTCGAAATTGGAAATTGGAAACGCACACCGACCGCTCGCAGCCGTGTGTCTATCTATGGTCTCGTGAACGGTAGTACATACGTGCCGTACGTACGTACGTGTATGTAAGTCACTTAAAGCGGTCCGGCTTCCATTCGTCGATTTCCTCCTATTCGACACAATTCGTTGACTTCGAGAACGAGAAACTCTTTAGGAACTTTCGTATGTATGAACGTACTACGTCTCTTCTTTAGTTCTTGCCCCGAAAATAATTAGCTCGCATAAATAAATATGTTTCGGATAAGCTTATTTTTAAATTAAATTATATATTTTATTTTAAAATTATCTACTCGGCTTTTTGTTATACAGCCTGACGAACGAATTTGAATTTATCACAATAGAAAGACAAATTTATTCGACGAATTGTTTTCTCATCTTTCTGACCTCATCTTCAGTATATATCGACTGGTTGGAATAAAAGAGGAGAGCTTCGAGTGAAGGAACACACATAATAAAAAAGAGGAACAATTTTATCAATTTCCCGTGGTACATAAAATTCCTCATTGAGCCTCAAATATTATTGGTGAGAAGATTTTGTTCTTGTATTCACTGAACAGTTTTGCGATGTTCGCCGCGTAGCCGAAGAACCCGCGATTATATCGGCCTCGGTAAATGTTTGAAGAGGAGGCAAACAGGTAACAGGAAGTAGGAGCGAGACGGAGGGATCAGAGACGAGTTAAAGTTCAAAGAACAGCGTTGATACAATAGTAAGGAGATGATGAAAGTTGTAAGAAAATTACAAAGAGGACAATGAGTACCGTGATGAACAATGCAATGGGGAAGTACGATTCGACCGAAATAAAGTAGTAAAGAAATTGGAAACGGAGTGCATAAAGATTAAGTAAATTTTGCAGAGAGTCAAATGACCTTTGGAGAACCAAAGGAAGTTAAAAAGAAATTCAGGAATTATTTTTCAAAGTGAGTCTCGATATTAATATCTAGACTTATACAAGTTCCTACTTATAGATATGAAATTAAACAAACGAAATGCATTGAATTCTTCGTTAAATATCATACATTTCACTTTGAATATTTTGTTTCGTTACACATTATTATCCATTCTTTTAAATTATTTAAAATTTCCATGAATACGTAACAGGAAATCTTTACAAGAAGTATTGAGGATACGACTAGGACAAAAGTAGAATGAAATATAAAATGAGAGAGTCTCGTGTTAGAACAATTCAAGCGAGGAATAAAACAATTTAAAAAATAAGACCAGGGAGAGATATAAAATTATACATTCCGTTGGGGATATAAAAAAGTGCTGAAAATGGACCGGAAAAGGAGAGAGGAAACCCCGGCGCCTCCTCTCGTGTGTACACACTTTCACGTGCTCCTCGTCTTATGTAAACGTGTGCCCAACCACTCGGCCAACAACGTTTCCAACGAGGAAACTACACGCAGCCCGGGTTTGCGACACGGCGACGAGACGCACAGCTAAAGAGGGTAAATGAAACAGCCTTACAAACGTAGACGGTCGTGTCCGGCTCGATACGGGTACCACGGATCAAGAGGGTCAATTCAGATGCATGTATTATTAATGTTGGATGAAGCTG